CAATATATATTGCGATGGCATTTTCGTAATTATTTGAGCAATTTTTTTCGAAAGGCCATTTTTCTTGGATTTTGAAGGATTAAGATGGTGGATTCGGCCTGATGCTATTCTTCAATGACGATTAAGTCCATCCAAGGAAAATTTGGGCGGATTTCTTCTGGGTGCATTTTTGGCAGACTCCAAAGGGGTACCATCACAGATTTCGGGTGATTTTTCCGAAATGCCATTTTCTAGTGATTTTGGTGGCTACAGATCACGAATTCTGCTCGAGGTTGTTCTCCACCGATAATAAAGTCTATTGATCCTATTCTGCGTCGATGATTAAGTCAATTAATCACCGAATTGGGCCAATAAATTTTGGGATGGCATTTTCGTAATTATTTGAGCAATTTTTTTCGAGAGGCCATTTTCCTTGGATTTTGAAGGATAAAGATGGTGGATTCGGCCTGAGGCTATTCTTCAACGACGATTAAGTCCATCCAGGGCCAATTTGTGCGGATTTCTTCCGGGTCCATTTTGGACAGACTCCAAAGGGGGTACCATCACAGATTTCAAGCAATTTTTCCGAAATGCTATTTTCTTTCGATTTTGGAGGCTATAGATCACGGATTCGGCTCGAGACTATTCTCCAACGATAATAAAGTCTATTGATCCTATTCTGCGCCGATTATTAAGTCAATTAAGCACCGAATTGGGGCAATATATTTTGGGATGGAATTTTCGTAATTATTTGAGCAATTTTTTTCGCCCTGAGGCTATTCTTCTACGATGATTAAGTTTGTTAAGCAACGATTTGGGTGGATATCTTCCTGGTCCATTTTTGGCAAATCCCAAAGGGGTACCATCACCCATTCTGGGCGATTTTCCCGAAATGTCATTTTCTTTCGATTTTGGAGGCTACAGATCACAAATTCAACCCGAGGCTATTCTCCACGAATAATGAAGTCTATTGATCATATTCTCCGCAAATGATTAAGCCCATTAAGCACCGATTTGGGGGGATTTAATTTTGGGATGGCATTTTCTTAATTTTTTGTGCGATTTTTTCCGAAAGGCCATTTACTTGAATTTTGGAGGCTACAGATCACAGATTCGGCCTGAGGCTATTCATCAATGATAATTGAGTCCATTAATCAGCGATTTGATCGGATGTCTTCCAAGTCCATTTTGGGCAGATCCCAAAGGGGGGCTATCACCGATTTCCGGGGATTTTCCTGAAATGCCATTTTCTTTCGATTTTGGAGGCTACAGATCACAGATTCAACTCGAGGCTATTCTCCACCGATAATGAAGTCTATTGATCATATTCTTCGCAAATGATTAAGCCCATTAAGCACTGATTTGGGCAAATTAATTTTGGGATGGCATTTTCATAATTTTTTGGGCGATTTTTTTGGAAAGGACATTTTCCTTGGAATTTGAATGCTACATATCACGAATTTGGCCTGTGGCTATTCATCAAAGATTATTAAGTCCATTAAACAGCGATTTCGGTGGATATCTTCTGGGTGTATTTTTGGCTGATCCCAAAGGGTTACCATCACCGATTTCGGGCGATTTTCCCAAAATGCCATTTTCTTTCGATTTTGGACTCTACAGATCACAGATTCAACCCGAGGCTATTCTCCACCGATAATGAAGTCTATTGATCCTATTCTCCGCAAATGATTAAGCCCATTAAACACTGATTTGGGGGATTTAATTTTGGGATGGCATTTTTGTAATTTTTTGGGCGATTTTTTCCGAAAGGCCATTTCCTTTAATTTTGGAGGCTACAGATCACGATTTCGGCCTGAGGCTATTCTTCAACGATGATTAAGTCCCTTAAGCAGCAATTTGGGCAGATATCTTCTGGGTTTGTTTTAGGCAGATCCCAAAGAGGTACCATCACCGATTTCGGGCTATTTTCCCTAATTGCCATTTTCTTTCGATTTTGGAGGCTACAGATCACAGATTCAACCCGAAGCTATTTTCCACCGATAATGAAGTCTATTGATCATATTCTCCGCAAATGATTAAGCCCATTAAGCACCGATTTGGGCGAATTAATTTTGGGATGACATTTTCATAATTTTTTCGGCTATCTTTTTCGAAAGGCCATTTTTCTTGGATTTTGAAGACTACAGATCACGGATTCGGCCTGAGGCTATTCTTCAACGATGATTAAGTCCATTAAGCACTGATTTGGCCGGATATATTCCAGGTCCATTTTTGGCAGATCCAAAAGGGGTACCATCACCTATTTCGAGCAATTTTTCCGAAATGGCATTTCTTTCTATTTTGGAGGCTACAGATCACAGATTCAACCCGAGGCTATTCTCCACCGATAATGAAGTCTATTAATCCTTTTCTTTGCAAATAATTAAGCCCATTAAGCACCGATTTGGTCGAATTAATTTGGGATGACATTTTCTTAAATTTTTGGGGGATTTCTTTCGAAAGGTCATTTTCCTTGGATTGTGGAAGCTATAGATCACGTATTCGGTCTGAGGCTATTCTTCAATGATGATTAAGTCTATTAAGCACCGATTTGGGTGGATATTTTCCGGGTCCATTTTTGGCAGATCCCAAAGGCGTACAATCACAGTTTTCAGGCGATTTATCCGAAATGCCATTTTCTTTCGATTCTGAAAGCTACATATCGCGGAATCAAGCCGAGGCTATTCTCCACCTCTAATGAAGTCTATTGATCCGATTCTCCAAGGATGATAGGTCCATTATGCACCGATTTGGGCCAATTTATTTTTGGATGCTATTTTCGTAGTTTTTTGGACGAGAAAAGGACAATTTTTTTGTATTTTGAAGGCTACAGATCACGGATTCTGTCTGAGGCTATTCTTCAACGATGATTAAGTCCATTAAGCACCAATATGGGCGGATATCTTTCGGGTCCATTTTTGGCTGATCCCAAAGGGGTACCATCACCGATTTAAGGCAATTTTCCAAAAAATGCCAATTTCTTTCGATTTTGGGGGCTACAGATCACGGATTCAACCCGAAGACTATTCTCCTCCGATAATGAAGTCTATTTATCCTATTCTCCGCAAATGATTATGCCCATTCAACACCAATTTGGCCGAATTAATTTTGGGATGGTATTTTCGTAATTTTTTGGGTGATTTTTTTCGAAATGCCATTTTTCTTGGATTTTGAAGGCTACAGATCACGGATTCGGCCTGAGACTATTTTTCAACGATGATTAAGTCCATTAAGCACCGATTTGGGCGGATATCTTCAGGGTCCATTTTTGGCAGGTCCCAAAGGGCTACCATCAGCGATTTCGTGCGATTTTCCCGAAATGCCATTTTCCTTCGATTTTGGAGGCTACATATCAAGGATTCAACCCGAGGCTATTCTCCACCGATAATGAAGTCTATTGATCCTATTCTCCGCAAATGATTAAGTCCATTAAGCACCGATTTGGGCTAATTAATTTTGGGATGGCATTTTCGTCATTTTTTGGGCGATTGTTTTCGAAAGGCTATTTTCCTTGGATTTTGAAGGCTACAAATCACAGATTCGGCCTGAGGCTATTCTTCAACGATGATTTGGCCGGATATATTCCGGGTCCATTTTTGGCTGATCCCAAAGGGGTACCATCACCTATTTCGAGCAATATTTCTGAAATGCCATTTTCTTTCTATTTTGGAGGCTACAAATCACAGATTCAACCTGAGTCTATTCTCCACCGATAATGAAGTCTATTGTTGGAAATGGCGGTAATCGAGTCCAGCTTTATACGAGGGGCAGATCATAGAGATGGTTTTTCTCACCAATCCTGTGAAAGTGTGAGAGCCCCAGCCAGCCCGGGGTACAATTTCTGTTTATTTCGGTTTAATGACTAAGCCCACCCATAATTGGTCTCACCCCATTAATGGGGAAAACTTTGGACCCTCAAGTTGCACTTTCTGCTCCCTAAGAATGTGATTGCTTATATCCATAAAATATGTTCTGATTTCTTATGGTTTGGCGAGGGTTCGGGCAAAGCTAAGGTAGTGTGGGAGAATCTTGCTCTGCCTAAAAAGGAGGGAGGTGTTGGTGCTAAGGTAGCGTGGGAGAATCTTGCTCTGCCTAAAAAGGAGGGAGGTGTTGGTTTTAAGGACCTGCATTCCTGGAATATGACGTGTTTGGCAAGACTTATTTGGCTCCTTCTGGTGAGAGGAGGGAGCTTTTGGGTGGCATGGATTTATAAATATAGGCTTAAGGGTCTCACTTTTTGGGATCTGCCTCCTTCTTCTCTTGGTTCATGGATTTGGCACAAGCTTTTGCAGATGCGAGGATGGTTTCAATTTCGGATGACGATAAATGTTCAGAATAAAGTCTTATGGGAAGGGAAACTTATGATTAAGTTCAGGGTTCATCAGGTTTGGAATTCCATTCGAGTGAGACGTCCATTTGTGTCGTGGTGGCAACTGCTTTGGAGTAAATATGTGATCCCGAGATATAAAATTGTTGCGTGGCTGGTAATATTGAACAAAATATCTACTCGAGATAAACTCAAATACTAGGGACGAATTACTGATGATGCTTGTCTCCTTTGCTCTAGTGTGGGTGAGACTAGGGGTTGGCAGGATGGGCATCAGATGGCCGAGAGACTGGGATGGATTCCTGCAGGTAGCAAGTCAGCTAGCAATGCGAGGAGGTGCTCATGGACGTTGTTTTTCTGTCCTTTGGAGCTGGTATGTGAGTCTCGTATGGCAGGAGAGATGAAGGCGCCATTTTGAAGGGATTGAAAGGCCGTGACATCAGCTTTTTACCCAGGTAAAGCGAGATGTGTTGTTGCTTTCGCTGGGGAATGACCAATTTTTGATGGAAATGCAAATAGTGCCTTTTTGGAGGGAGTTTGTTTAGACAGATTTTAGCTTTTGTTTGCTATTTTGTGGACGAGTTGTCTTTGTATTTTGGACCGTCTTAACCGATTTGGTTGAAGGGAGCTTTAGTGAATGCCTATTTATCGAGAGAGAAAAAAATTGCACTTTCTCATCTCTTGCTTCTTATATATTTTATAATATTTTCAAGACATACCAACAATTTCGTTCATGTTATTTTTTTAACATTTATGTACGTTCTCATGTTTTTATTTACCACCACAACCTCCGGCTTGCCTCGTATTACTAAACCCCCACAGATTTGAACCCAACCACAACTCTTCCCCTTCTTCCCCCTCTCCACTCTGCTCCAAAGTAAAAAAAGCTCCATCCTTTCGTCTACCTTCTCCATTCCTCCAACCCCTCTCTCCCTTTCATCCACTCAATTCCCCGCAACCATCATCTTCAACCTCCAGCCAGCCGGCCAAAACCAGAAAAAAGAAGCCTCCTCTACTTCACTTCGATCGTCAAGTTCCTACATAAATGGCTCATCCTCCTAATCCAAAGCACTTATTCGAGCTCTTACAAGACGACCAGGAGCCTTTCTTGCTCGAAAACTACATTGCCGACCGCCGCTGCCAAATCATCCAAACCAGAGTCCAATCCAACCACCACCACTCTTCTTCCAATCTCAAGAAACGGAGACCCATTTCGCGAAACTTAGCGAGGAGTGCTTGTTTCTTGTCTTTCGCTGCCGAATCCCCTGTTCCAAAATCGCCACTCTGTTTCCCGAGATCCCCTGTCGTCGGTAGCCCTGCCTCTGCTCTCCACCGCTCCAAAACGGCGTCGCTTCTCCTGGAAGCCGCGCTCCGAATCTCGCAGAAGCATCAGCAGAGGTCGGGCAAGGCGCGGAACGGAGGGATTTTCGGATCTCTGCTCCGGCGGCTCACGCAGGGACGGCGGAAGGGCGGTAATAAAATCGACGGCGGGGAGAGCGGCAGGGTGTCGGTGAAGGATGTTCTGCGGTGGGATTTCAACGATTCGCCCTCAGCCGGGCCCTGCAGCGCGGTTTGGTCGGAGGGTACTAATGCCGATTTGGATTTGGACGGTTGTTCCTCCGCCGGCCGGAGCAGCTGCGACGAGGAGATGGAGTTCGTCGACGAGATCGTCGATTTCATTTCCTCCGATAACCACAAGCAGTTCTGCGAGAGCCCTTTCCGTTTCGTCCTTGAGACCAGCCCTTCCTCGTCCGGCTGCCGGACTCCAGACTTCTCGTCGCCGGCCGCTTCTCCGATACGTCTCAACGCCGAGGTATATATAACTATACATCCCTTTCTCACTCAATTTCAAGAATCTTTATGCTTAAGGAAAAAATTAAATAGATTCCCTTAACGGCGACTTACCGCCGTCGTTGAGCTTTGACTTAATTATTTACTTAGATCAGTAGATGTCGGCAAAGACTGCTATAACTGCCGTCTTTGCCGGAGTATTGTCTGGTTAAACTACGTAGTTAGCTCTGGTGAGATTGAAGGGGATGGGATTAGGTGCTAATCTTTATAGGGGTTAGCACCGTGATAACTAGCAAAAAACGCTACTAAAAACAACAAAATCACTACAAATTATTATAAAATCAATACAACATCTAAGCTAAATTACTACTAATTCAAACTAGTAGTAGTTTTTCCCTTGGTTAGGACGGTGCTAACTATTGTACAATTAGCACCGTAACTCCTTCCAGATTGAAGCTGGAAGCCGGTTATTAGTGGCATGCTCGTCATTTACAATAAAAAAAATGTACTTTCCGATTACGAATCCGGCAAGCAAATCTTTTTAATACTTTTACTTCGTAAAATCAAATAGAAAATATAAACTTTACTCTAAGGGAGACAAAACTTTGCCAATTTTGTATTTTTCTAGAGTCACCAACTTTTATTTAGCTGTATTTTTCTGAAAAAGTCAACAAAATACCCACCAATTATTCCTGTTGTAACTTAGAAATTTCTCGATAATCCTTTTTAAAAACTAAACCCGCCAATGATGAGTCTAATTAACGCAAAATAGTCCCTAGAGAGGATGGACATGGTATGACCTTAGATCGGGTCGAAATTGATACAAGATTAGATCGAATATAGGAAATGTAAGGATGATATAAATCATGTATTTGACATTATATGCTCCGGTTAACCGAAAATAGAAACTATTAAAAGTACCCAATAAGAATTCTTAAGCAATTCCATAACCGGTTAACCGAAACCATTGTACCACACCCTAGCTTTATTTATGTATAGGAAAAGAAAGTTTTAACATTGGGATAGTACAAAGGAAATGAAAAGAAGGGGTATGTTGTTAACTGGTCACTTTCGAATGAACAGGGGAATGAGAATAACAGCGATGGCGAAAGCTTGAAGAAGTGCCAAGTACTGAAACAACAAGCCGGTAATGGAGAAGGAGATGGAGAGGAAGAAGAGAAGGAACAATGCAGCCCTGTTTCAGTTCTCGACCCACCCTTCGACGACGACGATGAGGATGACGAAGAGGACTGTGATGACAATGAAACAGAGGACGACGGTTTTGATATGGAGAGCAGTTTTGCATTTGTACAAAGTAAGTATATATTCTCTTTAATTTCCTACTCTGTTCTTACAAATAATTGATTGAGTTTTGTTTGTATCATTTATTTTTATGTCCTTTTTGTTGGCTGGTTTGTCTGGTCTTTATCATCTTGACAGAGCTTCAACATAAACCTTTGTACTTTTGAGGGTAAAATCTTTTGTGGGTTCCATTCCAGAGATTGCTGATTGCTCCTGTCTCTTTACACCATATACAAATGCATTATAATCCTAGAATTCTTTGACATTGGTTTTTCTGTGAAATCATGTATGATAAGTTGATAACGAGAAGCCTGATACACTGTATTAGGGTTTTCGTAGTAATCAACAAATATGCACTTAAAATTGTTACTATATTCCTTATTTACACACTCCACATGTCTTAATTTGTTTGTCGCATCATCTTCTTTGATGTTTAGTTTGATCATCACCTGTTTGAGGTAGACATTTGTGGCTGGTTTGGTTTGTTATCAAATTTGATTTCTTTTTCAAAATCTTGATGGGTATAAGTGGAACCCATAGTAGTTAATGAGCCTTAACCAAAAAGACCTTATCTTTTGGAAACAATAAATCATTCAATTGGTACCAAATAAATGCTGCTGCTCCTTTTACTATCTTTAGCAACTGGAATCTGCTTGTACTTAGGTCTGCTGCAATGCTACAGTCTAGGCTTAATTGAGTAAGAAAAGTTATTTTCATGGTAGTTAATGGAGAGGTTGAAAATTTTCAGGGGGTGAAATGAAATGAAATCAAATGTTTCATCGTTTTGATGATTAGGGTTTCTGTTTGGCCAAACATAATGCCCTGCTCACACCTTACTAAACTTGGTAAAGAAAACAATTACAAGCAATAAATTCCATATGCTACCTGAAATTCTGCATTCAGAAAATTTAAGTCCCTTTTCCCTTTCCAGGCAACAATTTAATTTTTCTTACAACCTAGTCAAACTTCAACATCAAGTAATCTAATAACCCCTCTTATTCACCTGTCCTTCCCAGGAGCAAAGCAACAGCTGCTCCAGAAGCTCCGACGATTCGAGAGGCTTGCAGAGCTCGACCCAATCGAGCTTGAGAAACTAATGCTCGAGCATGATGATGATGACGAAGAAGAGGAAATAGAAGAAGGGGAAGGTGAGAAGAGCCAGTTTGTGATAGATGAGCTTATTAACAAGTCGAGCTTCCAATGTGTTCCTCGAGACATGAAGAGGTTGGTATCCGACCTCATCCACGAGGAGGAGCGAGGATCGACTCGTACCAATAACAACATCACCTCGAGTGCAAGTGAAGAAGCTGTGGCGAAAAGGGTGTGCAAGAGGTTCGAATCATGGAAGGAAGTGGAGTCCAACACCACTGAGATGATGGTGGAGCAAGATTTCGTTCGATCGGAGGGCGAATGGAGAGAGAATCGAGACGAGGTCTTGGATGCAGTGGTTGAGATTGAAGTTGCCATCTTTGGGTTGCTGGTTGAGGAGCTAGCAGAGGAGTTAGTGATACTAACACATGGTGGTGGTCCATTGATGGTATGAAAAATGGGTACAAGAGGTGGTGGGGGGAAAGGGGGAATTGAATTTTTGGCTCCACTTTGTTTATTTGATTTTTTTAGCATTAGTTATTACATATCTATTAGAGTAAATTATTACAGTCTAACAATGGGATAATGGAGAAGGTATAGGCTAATGAGAGAGAGAGGATCCTGAGGCCAGATAGAGGTAAAAGGATCTGAGATTTAGCAAATGGTCAGTTAGTAGCTGCTATCCGGTAATCTATATGTAAATGAATTATGTATCATTTGTTCAATGAGGCATAAAAATGCATATTTTCTCTGCTCTTTCGATCTCACGTTCGTTTGATTTCTCTATCATAGTTTGATTTCTCTAAACGTTACATCTAATCTTTCGATTCATGTCCACATAAATGAAAGACATTTCATAACCACTCACTCACTCGTGACGAGAGTTGGTGCTTGCAACGGTAGAGGGACATAACTAGACATGGAATAATGATCAGGTGGGGGGAAAAGTGGTTATGATTGGTTAGCTTTGGCAGTCTATCATTATACAAACAAGATTAGGCAGTGATGGGGACATCACATCTCCCAAATTATTTGGAATAATCAGAGGGGTAGATAGAGATTGTAAGATGCCTGAATGTAGTAATTAAGCAGCAGACAGTTTTTGGGTTTAGCTTAAAAAAGCTTATACAAATTTGTCAATGCGTTTGACTTGCTAATGATGCTCAACAACTTGCTTTCTGTTCTCTTGACACAATGAACATTCTTTCACCAACTAATTATGCCCAATACATGGACATAATTAATCATTGTTTTGAAATATTAGGAACTACTTTTGTAACCTATTGATACCAATTGTCATAAAAAATATATATATATATATATAAAAATCATGTACGGATACAAAGTAGTGGAAATTTATATGAAAGTTTGCAATATGATTACCACCCTTTCTGTAAAAATGATAAACCCGAAAGTCCCAATTTCTGAAAACAGACGTCAAAATCAATGTACACTTGATGAATACCGAGAGATCGATCCATTCCAGTCGGGCAGTAAACTGGTCTTTATTCCTACATGCTAGCTGGCACTAAAATTTGTTTATGCTGTCAAATTGGTTAAAGAAACTTGCTTTTTATGCTGGATGGAAAACCTACTTATGACAAAATCCATTTAGATTGATCTCACACAGTACCTTTGATTCCCCTACTGATTTTTGAAAAGAACAGATCCTTCTGTTGGTTTTTTTTAGCTCTAATGGGATCAAGTCTTTCACTTTAATTTTTTCACGATGGAGCTAGAGCCATAGCCAATTAGCCATGGAGGGTGGGCAAGGAACCAAATTGAAGGGCTCAAGAAAGGAATCGAATCCATTTTGGCTTTGAGCCAAGGAGCCTACAATGCAAAGCAAGCATCATCATTTTGTCCTCCCCTCCCCTGTTTCCTTCAATGGCTGCCCCCTACCATAAAAGTTGTTGTTTCTCTTTTATAGGTTTGGTTGGTCATGGATATTAAGAACATTCAACTCTTTAGTCTTTACCAAGTATTTATTTTATTCTAGATATATGCTTTTGCAATTAGGAATGGTAATTCCAACCATTTCATGTATTTTTTTTTACAACCATTTCATGTATTTTTACTCATGAGTTCATCATCCTTATAAGTTATAACTGTTATTACTTATTAGATGAATTTTCTTAGTTGTACTTTGCCGATTTTTACTCATGAATACATACAACTCCTCCCCCTTCTTCTGGCAACCTAGTTATTCTGCTAATTTGAAGATTCGTTAGTATATACTAACTAATATCCAAAATGTATGAACTAATATCCAAGTCTGCTAAGTATCTAGATAGCACTGACTAGTATTCAAAACATCACAAACTAGTATCCAGATAGCAAATACCAACTAATATCCACAATCAACCAACTAGTATTCAATATGGATACTCTTATGGGTTATTTGGATACTCTTATGTGTTATCTTGATACTAATTATGTGTTGTTTGATACTATTCTGTGTTGTCTATATATTATTTTGTAAATTTGGGATAATAATTGATTCATGGTGAATATCAGTTAGCAAACTTTGAATTCTAGTTTGTGCTGTCTAGATACTTTAGTATTTAGATATTAGTTCATGTATTTTGGATATCAGTTAGTATCGGCTAACGAATATTCAAATTAGCATATTAACTTTTCCCTTCTGATGGGCCTATTCAGAATCTCAGTCAAAAAATCTTAAAAGCAAGGCCTTAAGACCAACTATATATATCTATCCACCCCCTGAGCAGGCCCAATGACAGGCCCACGACATTCCCCTCTGGATCAGCATTAGCAGTACTAATGGGCTTGAAAAGGAGAGACTATGGCGATTGGCGACGAAGAACCATCTCCCTAGTACTAAGTAGTAAGTACTAACTTTCTCAAAAAGTAGTAAGTACTAACTACGCAGCCCTTTTGTCCTCCATCAACTTTGTCAATCTCAAGCCTAGTACCAGTTGGCTGAACCTGAACCTTAAATCTTATTTTTATTTCTCCTCAACTAACTATGCAAGTTATCGTATATAATCTTATTTTTCCATGCTCAACAATCTCACCAGTTAGGTGTATAGTTTTTTTTTTTTTTTACCCCACTCCGGGCAATAAATTTCGAGAATTTGTTTATAGCAAGCAAAAATGAATTTGATCACAGCTTTGAATTTGAAATTGGTCTACCCGACAAACCCAAGATTATTGTACAATATCGTGGCGCCGCATTTCGAACCCCCCTCTCTGGTTCAACGTGCTTAAAAGAAGAGGACCAACTTATTTAATTTATTCAGTGTTCATATCTATATTAGGACTCAAAAGTGGAAGAGAGGAAGCTGCCGCCACATTGTTGATGAATGCGATGTCGGGCATATGCTCCAAAGCAATGTTTGCCAAATCGGGCGGGAACCTATATATGGCAAATTTTGCCACTTCGATCTAGTTCACTGGGCATGATTCATGCTGTGCATATGGTGGGCAAGATCCATGCATGCTCGCCGCAATATTATTGAGAATGCTGGTGGCCGGTGGATTGACTACTGGCTCCTCCATCCCCACTTGAAAAGGTGGTTAGTGAGGTGGCTTCTTGTTTTTAACAAATGAGGTCATCAGGATTCGAACAGAAGGCCTATCGGTCATAAAATACTTTGATATCTTGTTTAGAACCAACTGATTCCATTATCTCGAGTTGTTTGGAGATGTTCAATTATGAATCATATATCATTGACAAACACGTGCCTATATAAAACTAATACACGAACATCGTACTTGAAAAGTATAGTATGTCATAAACTAACTGGTACCAATAACTCGAGTTGTACTCGCGAGAGAGTTATTTATATAGATCATACACCACTCTCTTACACGCCCCCTCGAACAAAAGTCAACTAATGAGTTTGGGGTTTTGACAAACCCGTCATACCTTGTGTTTAAATCAACTTTGGGGTGGTGGAGATTTGAACATGCGACCACCTAGCCAAACCAGCTCTGATACCATGTCATAAACCAACTTATCACAATAATTTGAGTTGTTGAAAGACAGTTTTTTTATGGATCGGGTACGACTTTCTTACATAATACCTCAACTATCTCATTCACGGTGCATTAAATTTTCAACTACTTTGTTTTCCATTGAGTTTGTCATCATTATTTTTTTTAAGTCGTTATTGTTAGCCTCCGTGGCGAAGCTCCGTGATCTCCCTCAACTTTTGATTAAAAATACATGTAAAATTTATAACAATAAAAAAATTGAATATCTGTCAAGATTTTGATCCCATCACTGACCATTACTATATAGTTTACGTCACAGAACTTAAAATGAGCAACTCTTTACTCAAATTTCTAACTCCGCACTCACTAGTCCATTATTTTTTTTATCACAGTTACTGGCCGTAATCTTTGTCTTCCCGTGGGAATAGTAACTAATTTTCCGAAGAAAAAGTAATCATCATTAGTTTTGAGTGATCTCCCACTTTTAACGATCGATGGATAATTAAGAGCAGACTCAACTGGCTAGCTAGGAAATCAAAGTGAATTAAAAATTATACAGCCAAAACGCAAAACTTTGATCGTTAATCCCCCACGTGCGGCTTTTCCCTTCACGTGGGAATACAATTCAACACGTTTTCCACGGTGAAGTTGCTGATTTCGTTCTTAAACCATAGCTCCCCTTCCGTTGCCATTTCTCCCGATTGCGGCTACGACCCATCTATATTCTCTACCACACACACACACACACATATATATATATGGTTCCCAACTCGATCTTTCTATGCGTAACCTTCTACACTTACCATGCAGCATTACCTGAGAAACGAGATGACTAGTCCACCGCCGTCATCCTCGAGCGACGGAGGCCGCGGCAGCCGTTCACCACCGTGCACTGGTGGCCCGCCATCACGGCCGCCGCCAAAGCGAAAAGCCGGGCGGAAGAAGTTCCAGGAGACACGTCATCCGATCTACAAGGGCGTGCGTCGACGAAACGACAAGTGGGTGTGCGAGATCCGACATCCTCAGAACACCAAGTCGAGGATCTGGTTGGGCACATTCACGTGCCCCGAGACGGCGGGCAGGGCCCATGACGTGGCGGCGCTGGCGCTCTGCAGGGCGGCGGACTCGGCCGGAACGAGGGTGATGCTGAAGCTGAACTTCCCCGAGTCGGCTCACTCGCTGCCTCGTGCCACGTCGGATTCCGTGAAGGACATTCGGTGCGCGGTGGTCCAGCTGGCTAGCGCGGAGACCGGTGGGGGAGCGGTGTCGGGTGACGGTGTTGGTGACGTGGAGGGAGGGGATTGCGGGGCGGTGGTGGTGGGGAAGGTGGAGCCGATGGTGTTTGTGGACGAGGAGGAGCTGTTCAACATGCCGGCGTTGTTGAACGGCATGGCGGAAGGAATGATTGTCACGCCGCCGGGGATGATGAGAGGGTTTTGCTGGGATGATGACGTGGACGGCGGTGGTGATGATCAGGGCATGGACTTCACGTTGTGGAGTGACTATTGATTAGTTGTGGCTTTGTTGCTTATGACAAGAAAGGCAAGTGTCTGTCTCTTTTAATTTGGACAATGGTAGAGAGCTTGTTAGACCATTATTATGTGTTGATTTTGAGATATTCCATCGCTGAATTGGTCAACGAGATGAAGCTGTAATGTTTAGAAACTTCGTGTAGAGTTTGTTTTTCTTAATAAGGTGGTTGATGTGATCATTATGCATGGGGTTGGGTTAGTTCAATTCCTCTGTCCTATTATTTTTTAGGCGGAGTTTAATCTGAGTCTCGATAAATAATGACGATGATTCGATGAATGACCGAGCGAATGAATGACCGAACGAATATGTAAACTTCAAAGTTAATATGAGGAAACAAAACTAATCGATCATCATAAAAAGATTAATCTTGAATTACTAGCTCCCATTAGTCTGTGAAGAGAGCAAGACGAAGAGTGATGTATACAAATTGGGTGAGTTGTGCCAATGATGGAAGAAATCGGGGCGTGATCTTTGCTATCTTTCCTCCAGATAAGTCATCTTATATTTCAAATCCAATCTTGATGCCTATACATCCGCTCCAAAATTGACACTGCTCTTTGCATCTTTCAATTTTAGGGTTTACACTAAGGAAAAAAATTTAGAAAAGAAGAGGATGGGGGAGGAGATTGTCTGTACTAAGTTTGAGATTTTTTTTTGGAAGGGACATGGCCATTTTGGGATAAAAACATAAATATTTCTATTATGTTAACTGTTAATTGCATATTAGATTAACGATTACATTGGTAGCCATTTTAGCCTACCGATAATTGTATCACTAACATAAAATTCATAATCATTAATCCTCCCTTCTATGAAATGGTTTTACGGGATTCAGCCAACTATCTTGATCGTGGGATATCATTGAGAAATAGGAAGATTTCGTGTTATCAAAAGATTTCTTGCAATTATTTCAAGTAGGGAATGAGTCAATCATCCACTTTGGTATCTTATTGAAGAAAAATGATGATATTGCTCCTCGATTGATCACAAATTTCGATTGATTAGTTTATGGATTTAATTTAATAAGCACAAAGATCTTGCATTATTCATAAGTAAATACTTCCCAAATATCCCCTCAAAAAATATTTCCCAAATATTAGGAGTAGGAGATGGGTACATAACTGGTCCAATGCTGCTTTCGATGTTATCAAAAGATTTCGTGTTATCAAAAGATTTCTTGCAATTATTTCAAGTAGGGAATGAGTCAATCATCCACTTTGGTATCTTATTGAAGAAAAATGATGATATTGCTCCTCGATTGATCACAAATTTCGATTGATTAGTTTATGGATTTAATTTAATAAGCACAAAGATCTTGCATTATTCATAAGTAAATACTTCCCAAATATCCCCTCAAAAAATATTTCCCAAATATTAGGAGTAGGAGATGGGTACATAACTGGTCCAATGCTGCTTTCGATGTCCGTACACCCTGCCATTGAAACCAGGCCTAGTCCACATGCATCATTAGAGGACCACTGGGCCTCGTCCTCCGCTAGAACATCTGCAGAAACTGAACAGAACTCGCCCGGGTGACCCAACTTCGGCCCGCCGTCTCTCTATTGGGCCGTTCTCTCGACAGACCTACTAAATGGGCATTTTTCTATCCACGTGTAACAAAGTCAGTGGCGTTGACTAATCAAACTCTGAATAGTCAGCGGAAATTTCACCCTTCTTTAAGCTCCTCTTATCCTCCTCCTCCGACGAACGAACTCGATCCAACTCATAACAGAAACGAAAAAATGACAAGCAACGGCGGCGACGGCGCCGCCGCCGACTCCCAGCCCCGCCACCACCACGAAGAAATCGCGAAATGGGAACCCAACCCCGACCGCCTGAAATCGATGCACCATAGAATCACCACCCCGCCAAAGCTCCTCTCCCAAACCGCCGGCCACAGCTCCTGCTGCATTTTCCGAGCTCCGACAACATTCGCCGGCGTAAACAACAAATCCTACCAGCCCCACATCGTCTCCATCGGGCCTTACCACCGCGGCAAGCCGCACCTCGCCATGATCCAAGAGCACAAGTGGCGCTACTTAGGCTCCCTCCTCGCCCGAATCCCTAATCTCACCCTCGAATCGCTCTTATCCTCCATCGCCCCGCTCGAATCCCAAATCCGAGCTTCCTACTCGGAGCAAATCGACCTCGATCGCGACGAATTCCTCGAATTGATGGTCCTCGACGGCTGCTTCGTCGTCGAGCTCTTCAGAAAAGTCGCTGGAGTCGTCGAATTCGAGCCGCACGATCCCATCGTGGCGATGTCGTGGATCATGCCGTTTTTCTATCGGGATTTCCTCCGGCTCGAGAACCAGATACCCTTCTCCGTCCTCGAATCGCTCTTCAATTCGACGCACGGAGGAGAAGAGAAGGAGACCATAACCCACACCAACTCTGCTTTCAGCAGCACGGAACTTCAATTGGCATATAAGAGAAAGCACTCCAACCATCAAAACCCACACAACTCGCGAAAGAAGTACGAGACGAGAATTGACATCAGTCTGGGTTCGAATTCGTCGAATCGGGCACTGAGTTTATCGGCGTTGGCTCTGTACTTCTTCAACCACTCGATGCAGAGGCCGGAGGAGATCGTGTACAAGTACAGAGATCTGAAAGGGAAGCACCTCCTGGATCTGATCCGCTCCAGCTACACCCAATTCGACCCCCCGCCGGTCCGCCGTTCGTCCGATTCGCCGCCGACCCACATCATCCACAGCATCACGAAGCTCCGCAAGGCGGGGATCAAGCTCCGCCGGGTCGACGGAGGAGAACACGACGGCAGCCCGCTCCAGGTCCGGTTCCGGCGGGGAGTGGTGGAGATGCCGTCGATCACGATCGACGACTTCATGAGCTCGTTCCTGGTCAACGCGGTGGCGTACGAGCAGTGCTACGGCGGTGGCGGCGGCGGCGGCGAGTGGCCGATGCACTTCACGGCGTACGCGACGCTGCTGGACTCGCTGGTCAACGGGTTTCGTGACGTGGAGTATTTGGTGGACAAGGATATTTTGGAGAATTACTTGGGCACGGAGGCGGAAGTCGCGAGGTTTCTGAACGATTTGGGGAAGGAAGTCGCGTTCGACATTGACGAGTGTTACCTGGCGGAGGTGTTCGGCGATGTTCATCGGTATTACGGGAGTAGTTGGCATTTCCAGTGGGCGAGTTTCAAGTTTACTTATTTTCAGACGCCGTGGTCGTTTATCTCGGCGTTGGCGGCCTTGGTGCTGCTGGTTCTTACCGTTTTGCAGACTGTTTATACTATTTACGGTACCTATAGTTAGAAGGATTATGTGATGACATTTAGGTAATTGATTGTGGGGATGTGATTGTAGAGAATTTAAATATCATGAAATCTATTGCAATTCATAAGAACTATATGGTATTCAAGTCTAGTTTTTTTTTTTTTTTTTTTGTCGTCGTCTGAGATTTATATTGTATGTTTTGAAAAGTTCATAATTATGAACATTGACCACTTGATAGGTTGTTTTGAGATGTGATTATTGAACGATGATGAGAGTCATTAGAACAATAATGGAATTATGAGGACTAAATAATATATAGTAAATTTGCAGTTGGGTCAGGGGCAGATGGAAAACATGGGAAGCGAAAGAAATGTATGAGATTGGAGAAGGGAAATCTTGCATTGAATGGTTCAAATCGGTCTGGAAACAGTTCGATCCAGGAAAAATCCAACGATTATGTGTAATTATGTGGTACCTGTGGAAGGAACGGTGCAATCAGCTCAACAACAACATCAAAATGGCTGAGGACGAGATCATCCCTAAGGCGTTGGCCTGGCTCCGTTCTTTCCTTGATGCGCACAGAAATGGGGAGGAGCCATCCCCGACGGGCTATAGGGAACCGGAAGTGGAAGGATGGCGGCCACCGGCGGAGGGGGTTTTCAAATTAAACTCGGATGCTGGGCTCTTGAAGCCAACAGGGGTCGGGATGGGCTGCATCATTCGAGATTGGAAGGGAGATTTCATAGGGGCTTGTGCGTTGAAGGAGAAGGGTGTGTGCAGGCCAATTGAGGCTGAAGCAAGAGCTATAGCAATGGGGTTACGAGAAGCTAATCGAAGGGAGCTCAGCCCCCTCATTGTGGAGTCGGATTGCCAGGTGTTGATTAGTAAATTGATCAAGAAGGATGGGGATAGGACGGAGGTGGGCTTTTGGTGTGAGGAAATCTGGCGACTAGCGTTGGTGAATGAGAGTCTCTCTGGTTCTCCGGTGAGATGGAACTTTGCTCCCCGCAAAAACAATACCATCGCTCACTGGCTGGCTCATTCGGTAGGTAGATGGGATAACCTTCATGTCTGGGTGGATAATCCCCCGATGTCTATCTTGTGTCTTTTGGAAGCAGATTTGGGCCGGGCTGGGCCAAATGTAATGGACAGCAGACTTTAATGAAATGAATTCAGATTCCCATAAAAAAAAAAAAAAAAAAAGTTTGATGATAATGGTCACCCAAAATTATACAGTTACATCTCAAATATACAGTTGCATGTGTGGCACCTCAAAATCCTCAAGGTACAAATTAACTCTAAAGATAATAACACATGATTTGCCTAACCAATTAAACACCGGTATATATGACTCTATAACACATTTTTTTTACTTGCTGAGGATCTTTAAACCCCACACCAAATTCGTCAATCTGCTTCAGTTTTAGACATATCAAAATGACCACCACTAGATCGGTTATTTAGAAACCGATATAAACTCCAATTTACCCATCAATTTCACTCCTCTCCTCCGTTCTTACTAACTTGTAGAGCAAATAATTCTAGATGGGGGAATTGCAAGGATGAAGTTTGATAGTGACTTTTGTGGTAGAGGCTAAGTTATTCAAGCCGCCTCTCGCTGGCTTAATTCCATAGTTTTTGGTTTTAATCGAATTTGGAAGGGAACCTCGCTCTAGCTTAGCTCAAGAACGTATCCAACTGAGTGTCCCTCACGTAACAAAGAGTGTATTGACTCTTCCTCGTTTGAACAAAAGCATCAACATGTGAAGTGTTCTTCAAGATTTCCATTATTGCCACATCATTGTGTAGGGACTATAGATCTAGAGCTAGTCTGTGTGGAGGAAGGAGGATCGAGCATTCGAGGGAAGGTTTAAAATATTATACTTTACTGAAGGTTCGGCCAAAAAAATTTCTACCGAAAGCGGAATCGGTAGACAATATCTAATAGGATGAAACGATTGAATCATAATTTCAGCCTAAAGTATTTTAATTTAGTAGTGACTTTTTCGGTACAGCCTATGATACGGCTTTTCAATCAATGATTCGAGCTTTGCTAGTTTTGTGGACTAAAACTCCCTCCATCATATCTTATTGTAGGTAAACATTATTGAATTGTATCATATATAATTTGATCCCATTCCTGATGAGTATACTTTCATGAATCAACCGATGCATATCCCTAATTACAATTCAAAAATTAAAAAAATACTTACGAACTTCCAAATTTTTGTTCAAGCGTCTCTCAAATTTTTTAAAATCCTTTGAAATTCCTCTCGATTTGTTGGGAGACGTCCATGTATGAATTTTAACCCCTTTCTTACACGACCCTCAATCGAAAAATCAACTCATGGTCTTGTAATTCACACAGGTATGTCAATCATACCATATTTTTTTAATATGAGTTGATATTGAGGATCATTGTGACGACATGAACCCGCGACTTAAAAAACAAACCATCTCTTATGGTTCCTTTTGAGGAAGCTGCCTAGCCCTATTGTATGCATGAAACGTGTGGAAATTCATTTGATACAGTCCTATGATGATCTCCTCCAAGGAAGAAGGAGCCCTGTAAACTTAATTAGCGCTATATATATATTGGTTTAATTACTCATGTTGACCGTTGAAAGGTTCGGCCTTTGATCAAACTTGCCCATCACGAAGACTCTCGATCGATCCATCGCCACCGTTCAAATATCAAATAATGACGTGGTCCTGTATTCTTGAATCATTCCCCAATCCAATCCCATCCCATCCAATCCCTATATAAGTCAAATCCCATCTCCATACTTTTCCCCCACAAAGAAATCCCAGTTTCTATCTCACCCGAAAAAAAGTAGAAAGAACTATCATTCAATCAAATCAACACCGCGAAAGTTTCCACCGCGAAACAACAACAACAACAAGCTTGGCAAGAAGAAGATGACATCCGACGGATTTCGTCCAAGCAGCGTAATGGGCTTCCCGCAGCCCACCAGGCCGGACAACAGCTACTCCCCACGCCTCCTCCTCCCCGTCGAAACTCCTTACCAACCAGCCATGGATTCTCCTGTCATGGCTTACCCTGTTGGCTACCCGCGGGTTCAGTCGCGTGACGGAGGAGAAGCAGCTGAGGAGGAGAAAGAGACGATCGAGGAGCTGAAGCGCGGGATCATGGAGCTGTACGAGAAGCTGCCGATGGCGGTGAGGAGCCAGGTGAATCTCGAGAAATTCCACATTCCCAGCAATGTGGTGACCAACTTGAAGGTGGACGCGGCTCGGAGCCGGGAGGTTCAAGGGATCGTGGACCAGCTGTCGCCGAAACTCGAGCGGTTCAAGGTCAAGACGGTTCGAGCCGGAGGGGGCGGCGGCGGAGGCGTGGTGAAGCTGGAGGAGGATGAGGATGACAAAAGGTGATCGAAACGGGTGATCTCGACAACGCGGAAATTTGAGTCAAGTCGCATTTGTGACAACTACGTGATTCACGATGCTGCTCGACTTTGTTTAAGATGTGGAGCACATGCAATTAGAGAATTGTGGTAAAACAAAGCAACAATAGTTGTTTTGGGCTCGTGATTTTTTGGATGGATCGTGTGCTACGATTCGTCAAATTCCAGGACAAACAGAAGGGGTTTGGTAAAAGTTGTACATTGTTTTCCATCATATATACTGATTATGTTTTTTTCTTAATTCCTTTATTTTTCTTTTCAATTTTTGTTTGTAAAAGATGGTGTTCAGCTAGAATTATTCAAAGGTTTGTTATTCTGAACTCCTCAGTCGTACGTGGGCTTGTCCTTTCATTTATGCCTTGTACACCGAATGCCTTCTTGTCCAACCCATCAGAATTTAACTCGGTTTGAGGTGGGCCTGTAATTGGGATATTATACCGTTGCCGAAATATAAATACTGTCATTCATCGAACTAGCTAGCGTACGTGTCATACATATAACATTGGATGGTGAAACTACGTGGTCTAAATCGACCGCCCAAATTAGTTTTTGGTCCAAAAATTGGCAACATTATATTGTGTATCTTCGGGAACATGAGATTTCTGATTTGCTTGTGTGGGATAACCTGGATTTGGAGTACACCATAATCAATATGAAATTCTAAAATTATGGTTTGGATTACTTCTTATCGTGGTATCCAGGTTTTTTTATCATCGTGAGTGTACGTATAAGATATAAAATAAATTCGCCCAAATCAGTGTTTAATGGCCTACTCTTCGTAGAGAATAAGATCACTAGACTTCATTATCAGTGGAGAATAGCCTCAAGCGAACTCCGTTATCTGTAGCTTCTAAAAACGAAAGAAAATTTCATTTCGGAAAAATCACCCGAAATCTGTTATGGTACCCCTTTGGCCATTGATCAATTGAATCCATCTAGATCTTTCAATAAGTAGGCCTCAATGGATTGGGTGGCATGGATGGCAAACGAATCCATGCCGGACACCTAGTCGGCTACTCATGCCATGAAAGTGGCATGGTGTACCCACCAATCAAACGAGCGTAAGGGGCTTCATTGACCCAGCCACATGACTCACTGCTTACCAGTCATGGCAAAGTCATCACATCGCAAGTGTCACAAATCTAACTAAACTTGCCCCTTTGTCGTCTTTTTTTGGCCATGATTGGCCAATGATTATTTTTATCTCCCTCTTCATTTTAATAGTATTTTTATTTATTTAATTATTATAGTAAAGAGTGAGACGTCACTGATTTATATCCCCTTTGGCAACCACTAATGTGCCAAAGGTGTACTCCCACTGACAAGTCAATGGGTTAAACCAGACCAACCATCCATACACTACTTGGCTTCCCTCTTTAAGGGGAGATGACTCATTTGGTGTTGGTTTTGAATTTTCCAACTTAACAACGGATGGTATCCGATCGACTTGTCTTGCCTTGGTGGGCTTGCAAGGGGTCCTCTGATCCTCTGTCTTAGCCACCTTACTAGACATGTTGGGTTCATGTTAAACCTGTTGTGTTTGCCTCGTACCAAATGGTACATTAGGCATTCTCAACTCCTTGGCCTCGTCAAAGGGGCCAGGTGTTGTCATCTTTCTTAGTTTTCCCCAATTTGACACATGCTTACTCTTCCCATATGACTGAGAAGACGAGTGCTTGGACTTACAGAATTGACGAAGACCCTTGTGACCAAATTGACTCTTACCAAACCTCATATCTTCTCGGCTTTTACACTTACCTGACTAGTCTTTGTGTGGCAGCTGAAAGTACATTATAGATGATTACTTCATGCATAGTCATGCTCGTTCATGCACTGTGTATATATTATAAACATTGTGTTGTGTGCTTTACCTGCAGAGTCTTACATTGCGCATGAATGGGGTTCAGATGGTTTGAAATTTGAAAGATTAATAAATAACAATGAGAAGAAAAAACAACTGGCCTATTAGCTCAGCTGGTTAGAGCGTCGTGCTAATAACGCGAAGGTCACAGGTTCGAGACCTGTATGGGCCATTATTTTTGTGTTTACTTCTCATTTTTTCTGTTGCCGCTCTTTGAGCGGGCTAACGGCGCTCCTTTGGGCGATATGATTTCATGGGCTTTAGTATGCAGGGCCGAATACGATGGAGAGTGACATTGGTTGCCACCATGTGGACCGCGCGGGCCGTTTAATTTTTTCCCCCCTGTTAGAAGCCCATTTAACGACTTGGACTGCACTAGTCCCATCATCAGATTTTCAAACAAATTACACATTGATCATGAAACTTTTATTCTTAAAACAAATGTTTCCATTCCTAGCCTTCATTGGTGTAACATCCGGTCCATGACCTCGATTCAATCGCCAGCTTATGAAAAACTACTCGCATTCTACCCCAAAAAAAAAAAACAAACTACTCGCAAAAGGACCAACAAATACATAATGACATCAATCCTCTTAACCAAAGCCGACGAGACTTGCATCCCTTCACACTCCTGCTAGCCTAAATTCTAGTTCTGTGCAGGTTTGTAATAAGTAACCTCTGAAACAGAAGGCCGCTGCTTCTGCAACTGCAAGCATAGGGGATTTTGCATTGCCACAAAGGCGACAATCAACTACGAGTGGCCGATTCGTAGTAAGGAGAACAACTATAGCAACTGGTGACAATATTACCAGGTGACAAGAGCGACAATAAACCTTCGATGCAACAAAAGCTTATGTCTCTAAGGACACGAGTGACATATTCATCGTAAGCACAACAATGACTAAAATGACCAGTAGCGATATTACCAAGTAACCAGAGCGACAATCAACCTTCAAAGAAATGAAAGCTTATAGTTATACCTCGGCGACCAGTAGTAATCCACACAAGAAGGTTGGCCATGGTAAGAGGTACATACAGCAACTGCGCAATGATTTAAAGAAGATGCCGACTCTATTAAACTCAAACGTCACCACAAAATAGTAAATACAACCAGAAATGTAGATACCAGGTTTTTAGAAGCAAACCATAACAAGCACAGAAATGCCTCCTTAAAGCCGAAGAAGAAACTGACCCAAAAGTGATCAAACACTCAACAACAACAAAAAGCTTACCCCACTTATTCTTTCTGTTTCTTTCATTTTTCAAAACCTAAATGTTAATCGCAGGGAGAAAAGAGGGAAACAACCGAAGCCCTAAAAACAGCTAAACGCCCTGAGACCAAGCCAAAGGACCTGACCTTTCAGCTGCTCAGTACTTGTAGTCCTTGACGTGGAGGCTCTCCGAAGCTCCCTCAGCAGGGGTGGCATCGCCCTTGTACTTCCCGAGCACTGCCTCGGAGTTGGCCTTGGCCCTGGTGAGCAAAGCATCCTGAGCCTTCTTCCAGTTCTCCTCCTTGCCACCCCAAGCCTTGAGGGTGCTCTGCTGGAGGGCACGGCCGAAAGAGAAGGACAGGGTCCATGGCTTCTTGGTCTGGAGCTTGTTCATTGCGTTGAGGTTGACAGTGGCTTCCTCCTCGCTCTGTCCACCGGACAGGAACACAACAGCAGGGACTGCAGCAGGCATGGTCCTCTGAAGGGCACGGACAGTGTACTCGGCAATCACCTCGGGTGACACCTTCTTGGAGTCGGATCCAGGGGTCACCATGTTTGGCTTCAGGAGGGTTCCCTCGAGGAAGACCTTGTGGTCGTTGAGGGCCTTGTAGCAGGCAGCAATGACACGTTCGGTGACGTCAGCGCACCTGTCGATGTCGTGGGGACCATCGACGAGGATCTCAGGCTCGACAATGGGCACCAGGCCGTTCTCCTGGCAGATGATGGCATACCGGGCAAGGCCATTGGCGTTCTCATTGATGGCCAGCTGGGATGGCTCATTGGGGCCGATCTTGAGGACAGCACGCCACTTGGCGAACCTGGCACCAGCCTCATAGTACTTGGCGCATCTGGCAGCAAGGCCATCGAGCCCTTGGGTGGTGGTCTCACCGTTGGTTCCAGCAAGCTCCACAGTGCCCTTGTCGACCTTGATACCGGGGAGGACTCCAGCTTCCTTCATGACATCAACGAAGGGCTTCCCTGAAAACGAAACAACACAACATAACATACAATTCAGTACACAGACAAGCAAAGAAACACTCCGTAAATTCTAGCTCAATCAGAGCATCAAATCTCAAGCTAGGAACAGCTTATATACCTGACTTGGTCTTCTGGTAGAGGGTCTCCTCAAAGAGGATAATGCCACTGAGGTACTGGAGAACACCGGGGGCAGTGAAGAGGAGCTCACGGAGAGCACGCCTGTTCTCCTCAACATTCTCAACGTTGATGCTGGAGAGACGCTTGCCGATGGTGCCGGTGGACTCATCAGCAGCGAGAATTCCCTTTCCGGGAGTGCCAATGTAGGCAGCATTGCGAGCAAGCTCATCTGTATCCAATACAAACGCAGACAACCCAATCAGATGTAAGCGATTCACCTCCCAATCAAGTAGAAACAGAAATCAATCAATCAATCTAACAGCCATGAAGTAGCAACTAAATTGACAGAGCTTCAACCACCAACAAGAATCTAGAAACGACTAGCAATCTCAGACTGCTGAAATCAAATCACAGAATCACAAGCTACTCAGACCCACGAGCTAATACAAAAGAGGCGTAGCAGTGATTCGAAAGAACAACTACGCCGATTACAATTGACCAGAAGACTTGGTAAAATCGTAGTACAACAGAAATACACGGATCTGAGACCTACATGCATCCAAATCAACAAACTCCGGCTATCCGGAGACTTCGCCGGCGAAGTGCTATCAAACGAGTGGCTCAAAACACAGATCTATAGATCACGGAACAGCAAAAGCAAATTCACACTCGGAAACACATCACAAGAGGCATCGATATTGCAAAATACAGTTGCAGATAGCAGCAGAGCGAATCAGAAAACTAATGATTTCATATATGGAATTCAATCGATTCCTACCAAGCAAAACGAACAGAGAAAGCCAGATCTAAACGAAATTCTCAGCGGAAGATCGGAAGAACAAGCCATACGAGATCGGACGAGCATGCGATAGAGGTACCGATAAGCAGGAGGTAGAGGAGGAAGGAGGGCGAGAGTTACCGGCGTATTTGCCCTTGTAGCAAGACATGGTGAGGCGACGGAGAGGATTAGGTGCTGAAGAGGAGAGGATTGAGCCGAGTGAGATCGGAAACTGTGGGAAAGACGAGGTGGGGGAAAACGGTGAAGGGGTTAGGGGTTTATATATTGGGGAGCGGGGGGAGAAAGGTGGGTGAGGGAAGGGCATCGAAATTGTCGCTGTTTCGCGTTTTTTCTTTGGCTTTTTGCTCACGGTAAAAAAAAATTAAACTTCCTTTCTGTGCTCTCTGACTTGGAGAATACGTCGCTCCTCCTCTTGTGTTTAATACTTTAATTCCTCCCTCTTTTTTTTTTTTTTACTGGTTTACCCTGATCTGTTGATTTTTGCTCGTGCTGCGTAATGCGTATTGCGCTGTCTATCGCTCACACATCGTCAGTTCGACCTCGCTCGATGATAAGGATATTAAATAAGCTTTTGATATATTTTCTATTAGTTGTTAGGCAGCTCCTGTTGTATAGCGCCACTACTCCTTAGTTTTAGCTATCATCAGTTGTAAACTGGGTATTTAACCCACAGTCCTTATCAATGTAAAGCAACTCATTAATCCCTTTCATGGTATCAGAGCTGCGCTCCGATCTCCTTAACCCTTTTCTCGTTGCTTAAACCTCTTCTCACAGACTCCAATCTCTTCCCTCCCTTCTCTCCTTCCGCTGCCGCCATGTCTCAAAATTTTGGAGAAACCGTACTCAATCTTGATGATTCAAACTCCATCATCACTCTCAACCCTGCCTCCCAACTTCCCCAAAAATTAACCGGGGAAAACTTTCCCACCTGGCGTGCACAATTGCTCACTCTCCTTCGCGGTCTTGCCCTTCTTGGATTCGTTGACGGCACTCATCCTCCACCAGACTCCACGGCTCCCGCCGCTGATCGCAACCGCTGGTTCAGGCAAGACCAGCTGCTTCTTCACTCAATCCTGGCATCCGTCTCTCCTGCTGTTGCTCCTTATGTCACCGCTGCCACCACCTCTCATGAAGCCTGGACTATTCTTGAGCGCATGTACGCCAGTCAGTCCCGGCAGCGGGTTATGAATCTCAAACAAAAACTTGCTCGTGAAACTCAGGGCAATCGCCCTGTTGCTGTTTACCTACAGGCCATGCGCACAACTGCCGCTGAGCTTGCCCTCGTCCATGCTCCAGTCAGCAATGAAGATCTGGTTCTTCATGTTCTCCGCGGTCTCCGCGACGACTATGATTCTCTTTCTGCGGCAATCCGTGCTCGAGACACCACAATCGCCCTTGAAGATTTGCATGATCGTCTGGTCGATTATGAGGCTGAGCTCACAGCCATTCGCCATCGTTCTTCCTCGGCACCAACTACGGCATTCTCCACTAGCCGAGGTCGCTCTTCACCTCCTGCTCGTGGTCGCGGCAGCCCCCGTCGGCAGTCAACAGTTGGGCCTTCCTATTATTCTGATTCTCTTCATCGTGCCCACTCCCCAGCTCGTGGCTCTCCTGTCTCCGCCATGCTCCCCTCGGCTCCCTCTCTCCTAGGGCGACCTCAGCTCCTCTGCCAGTTCTGTGACAAGCCGGGTCACACCGCCAAGGAATGCTACCGCATCCGTGGGCGTCCTCAAGCCCATCACACCACCACCGCCGAATCTTCTTCTCCGGCTTGGCTTGTCGACTCTGCCGCCACCAGTCATGTCACTCCTGATCTCGGTGGTCTCTCTCTTTATGCTGATTATAATGGTCCTGACGAGGTTATTGTTGGCGACGGGTCAGGTCTGACCATTACCCATATTGGAGACTCTCATATTTCTACTTCCTCATCATCTCTATCCTTGCGTGATGTGCTTTGTGTTCCAGCGATTAAACGTCGTTTATTATCGGTTGCACAATTATGTAAAACTAACCCGGTTTCGGTGGAATTCTTCTCTGATTGTTTTGTTGTGAAGGACTTAGCCACGGGGGCGCCTCTACTTCGCGGCCAGAATAAGGATGACGTGTACGAGCTGCCCATGGATGCCTCCCCCGTTCGCCTTGCCATGACCGCCACCAAAACCTCGTCTACAACTTGGCATAATCGCCTCGGCCATCCCAATCCTAGGCTGCTTGCTCGTTTGCTTCGTAACCAGTCTCTCCCTGTTTCTCCCACTTTGCCTTTCCATTCTTGTGCATCGTGTGCCCTCAATAAGAGTCATAAACTCCCCTTTTCTGTTTCTAGTTTGACTAGCACTCGCCCTTTCGATTTGCTATATATGGATGTTTGGGGTCCTTCCCCGGTTCTTTCTATTGATTCATATTCATATTATTTGGTGATTGTCGATCATTTTACACGTTACACTTGGCTCTATCCTCTCTCTCGCAAATCTGATGTGTATCATGTTTTCACTACTTTCACCAAAATGATCTCCAATTACTTTCATACATCTATTCGTCGTGTGTTTAGTGATGGCGGGGGTGAGTTCCAAAAATTATGTTCTTTTCTCCAATCTGTTGGCATTACTCATCTCCTCACCCCTCCTCACACCCCACAACATAACGGCTTAGCTGAAAGAAAACATCAACATATCGTCGAGACTGGGCTTGCTCTCCTGCATAAGGCCAACCTCCCGCTCTCGTTTTGGTCTCATGCCTTCCAAACCGCCACCTACCTCATTAATCGCCTTCCCTCCTCTTCTTTACGTGGTGCCACGCCATACTTCTCTCTTTTCTATGAACCCGCCAACTATCTTAAACTCCGCACTTTTGGTTGCCTCTGTTTTCCCTGGCTACGTCCCTATTCACCTCACAAACTTGCTCCTCGCTCCCGCTCCTGTATATTCCTTGGCTATTCTCTAACTCAAAGCGCCTACAAATGCTATGATCCCGCTGCTCAACGCTTGTTCGTCTCCCGTCATGTCCAGTTTGATGAGCTTTCTTTCCCGGGTTTGCCTACCTCCCCTCCACCCTCCTACTCTTCCCCTGATTGGCTTGCTGTTTCCACTCCACCCCTCTACCAATATCCCCTTCCCGCACCTCTTCCACCAACTACCCCCCAACCCTCCGCTCTTGTTCCATCACCACCCCATCAACCCTCCGCACCTGTGCAGCCCGTACTGTCTCCACGTTCATCTGCCGTCGCCAGCGCCCCTGCCTCCCCACTGGCTACGTCCTCACAACAAGATCGTCCTCCACCGCCGCCGAGTAAGCCAGTTCCTCCTCGTTCTCATACCATGGCCACCCGCAGTCAGCATGGCATCTTTAAGCCGAAGAAGCTCTTCTCGGCGCAGGTATCTTCCTTGGATGTTGAACCTACCTCTGTTAAACAGGCTCTCGCTGATCCTCGTTGGCGTGCTGCCATGATTGAGGAAATCACGGCATTAATTCGCAATGGCACCTGGTCACTGGTGTCTCGGCCTCTTCTTCATAATATTGTCGGCTGCAGGTGGGTTTTCCGCATTAAACGACATGCTGATGGTTCTGTTGATCGCTTTAAGGCCCGCCTCGTTGCCAAGGGCTTCACCCAACGCCCCGGCCTGGACTATCATGATACTTACAGTCCGGTTCTCAAACCTGTCACTATACGGACTGTGTTCTCTATTGCTCTTACTCATGGCTGGCCTATTTTTCAGTATGATGTCAATAATGCATTTTTACAAGGCTCTCTTTCGGAAACTCTTTACATGTCCCAGCCACCAGGTTTTCGTGATCCTGCTCATCCCCAGCATGTTTGTCGTCTCTCTCGTCCACTTTATGGGCTTCGGCAGGCACCTCGTTCGTGGTACATGGAATTATCCACCTTTCTCCACCATGAAGGCTTCGTGAAAACAACCTCCGACGCGTCTCTATTTGTTTATCACAAGAATGGGTCGCTGCTCTACTTCTTGGTCTACGTTGACGATCTATTACTCACCGGCAATGACTCTCAGTTGCTTGCTGCCTTCCAGTCCCGCCTTGCTGCGCGCTTCTCTCTCAAACATCTTGGTGCCGTCCATTACTTCCTCGGTATCGAGGTTCTTCCCACATCAGGTGGCCTTATGCTCTCCCAACATAAGTTTATTGCTGATATACTTCACAGGTTTGGCATGATGGACTCCCAACCAGCCCCCACGCCTCTCTCCTCCACCGCCATACTGCGTCTTCATGATGGGTCGCCACCTGCCGATGCTACTCTCTTCAAACAGGCACTCGGTTCTCTCCAATACTTGCTTTGTACCCGCCCGGACATTGCTTTCGCGGTAAACAAGCTTTCTCAGTTCATGCATGCCCCGACTCAGCTCCACTGGCAGTCTGTCAAACGCCTGCTCCGCTATCTCAAGGGTTCAATGCTTCATGGTCTTCGTCTTGCTCCCGTCACTACCCCGTCTCTCGTTGCCTTTGCTGATTCTGACTGGGCTGGTGACCCTGACGACCGCACTTCCACCATGGGCTATCTCCTCTACTACGGCGGCAACCTCATCTCCTGGAAGTCTAAGAAGCAACGCTCTGTTGCTCGTTCGAGCACTGAAGCCGAGTACCGGGCGGTGGCCCATGCTACATCTGAATTGTTATGGGTTAAGAACCTCCTCATCAAGCTTCATCAACCCCTCCCGCAGCTGCCAGCTCTCTACAGTGACAATCTCGGCGCCGTTCACTTCTCCGCCAACCCCGTCTTCCACTCCCGGATGAAGCATCTTGCCCTCGACTTCCATTTCGTCCGCGAGCTAGTTCAGAACAACGAGCTTCTCGTTCGCCATATACCCACTGCGCATCAGCTGGCTGACTCTCTTACCAAACCCCTCGCTATCACTCGGTTCCAGCTCTTACGCTCCAAGATTGGAGTCGCACCCGCCTCCATCTTGCGGGGGCGTGATAAGGATATTAAATAAGCTTTTGATATATTTTCTATTAGTTGTTAGGCAGCTCCTGTTGTATAGCGCCACTACTCCTTAGTTTTAGCTATCATCAGTTGTAAACTGGGTATTTAACCCACAGTCCTTATCAATGTAAAGCAACTCATTAATCCCTTTCACTCGATACATCTTAAACGACTCAATTACAATATACATTTAAGGAAAATTGTGCTCCGTCATTCAATTTGATCCTTGATCACATATCTTTCTTTGTCATTTGAGACTTAATCTATATAGAATTACGACTTACGATAAGATTAATCATATTTGGTTCACCCACTGGTTTGAGAAGGAGAGAGGGGTAGAATTGGAAAGCAAGACCAGTAAAGGGCCGTGAGCTTCTAGGAGTTTCCAACGGTAAACCAAAACCAGCTGCCGTGAAAACGTGGGGCAGACAGAATGGTCATGAAGCTCGTGCGCCGTGACTAGAAAGAAACGACGAGAAGATAAAAGTGTCCAGGCTTCCACCTAATGATGACAGGGCAGGGACAAGATCGGCTTTTCGTATTTCCCTTTTTCTTTTCTCTCTTTTGGGTCTTCTTGTTGGTATTGGAAAGTGACTTGTACTACTACTGGACTGGATTTATCTTTATGGGAAAAGGCCAATGGGCCGCCAACTGCTCGATCGGCATGTCACTTATCAGCCCGCTAGGTTTGGATTTATCAATAAATTCCGCACCAATTATTTAACAGAAAAATAAATATTTAGTCCCGTTCATCGGTCCATGTTCTACTCCGCACATTATCACCTTAACATTGTAATTTATGCCCCTACCAAATTGAGGCTAAACTTGACGAGAAGAATGTGTGAAGGAATTTAAGACGCGGCCAGATTCATATGTAGATTATCAAATGATCTGAGCACTTGTCCTTTCGAATTGAGCTTTAATTTATAAGTATCGTGATCGATATGCTCGTCTCATAAGTCTCGTTCGTTTAGATAGAGTAGAAGTCAAAAACCCAACACCTCATCTTATTGGACAACTTCTGGCGAGGAGAATACTCCTTATCCACATTTCATAACGACTAATCATATTCATGAATCACAAAGGCATTTGAAAACCATATAACCATTGACCATGGGTATGTGTGACACTAGGGTAGAAAATGGCTGGCCGCATGCCAAATGACGTACATTCGCCAATCATGCGTGCTACTAATTGAGCATATGTATATACATTGTTTGTAATCACTTTGATACTTTTTCTTTTTGGGCATCTACAAGAGACATAGAGCATGCCAGTTTTCAGTTTTCTCATGTCCAACTTATAGTATGATAAATTGAAAACTATGGTTATGATATGATAGATCAACTTCTTAATCACACTTTCAATCACAAAAAATCTTACGTCATACTTCACATTTGCTTCGTTAACTCTTACGGGCTTGAAAGTTTGTACAGGTCTTGGTACCATGAACTTACAAAATCATCATTTCGATGGCAAGATCGTATGAGTGCAGAGGATGACCCTATAAAGATGTTTGAAATAGAAAATAAACTATTTTGAATAAAAAAGAGTCTGAAATCGTATTAACAACCAAACCAATAGGTACCAACACAATTCGAATTGTTGAAAAAGATTCATATCTTATAAATCAGTCTAAAAGCATGGATTAGGTAGAAATTAACGGCCTGCCTGCAATCTGATGCTCCTCTCAAGAAAGGAGGATATTCCACGAACCCATTATTCCAGATCCCATTACTCTTCGTTGCAACTTGCAACGGTACATGAATTAAAAAAACTACATATATAACAAAATTCTAACGGCAACATGACTTTGGGTGGCTCAATTATTTGTATACATAAACCTGTTTCCAATATTTTATTTCAACAGTTATTAAATCACCGCCACCGAGCTGGGTAGTGTGTATGATCCACGAAAGCCCAACTAAAGAGAATCCGGTCCACTTACTGTTCGATCCTTAACAGCGGCCCAATTTATCACACCCACAAAAGATGATGTTGGTATTGGGCCCTTGACCAAAGGAAGTCTATACGGGCTTAGGCCCTTGGACATTCCTTTTTTTGTTCGGATGAGACAGCAGTGAGCAATCGATAGAAAGCAAGGGATGCTAGCGCTCTGATCCTAGTATTCCTCGCTTCGGTATATTTAGGAAGTTTTGGCATCCGGACGTATTACGATAGCTAGATGGGGTAGGATTTGATATCGGATGGTTATTCATCAAGTGGATCCTTTGCCTCTTACCTCAGCAGCTGGGCCCGGAAGGCGGTAACCGGCTTCGGTGAAAACACAATGGTTGGAGAACCGATTTAAAAAAGATTGTACCATCTTAGACCATCAATATCACATAGCCAAACAGAACAAGGCAAATTGTAGGGCAGTCATGTCTTGCATATCCTGAATCTGTTAGGGATAAACATTGTTTTCCCGGACTGTTGATGGGTAGAGATGTAGACCTAGTTGTGCTAGTGAAAGGTCCAAATCAAAGATTTATCAACTTGATCCATGAAAAGGACTCAATTTTGACAAAGTTTACATATATATAGTTTCTACGTTTTTCGAGCTGTTGAGATATTTGTGAGGGTTGTCTAATTTTGGATATGAAAGAAAATGATTTTATTATATGTATTCATTTTTCTCGAGGGAATAACTAAATAATAAGAGGATTATGTGCTAAACACACACTTTTATATTCTGCATATTTTAACAAGCACATCCCTCTGCTTCCATTCTCAACTAACACCCCATCCTACAATCATAATCTTTAACAAACAAGGCTTTAAATCATGTTTTCCATCCAAAAATTTTGTTAGTGTTGGGGGTATTACAAGGCCAATTAGGGATATGGGCTCTCAGACAAAGGAATTGGGGGGCAAGGCCCAAAAAGGGGTCCTGGAAAAGGCCCCAAGGCCCAAATAAGTGGGAGGGCGCATGAAGACAAAACGCTAAAGGCCAAAGGAATCCAGGCTGGCTGGTGGTCCATTACCTGGGGGCGCCTGTCATGTGTCAGGAGCATGACAAGGTGGTTGGGGTGCCTGACAAGGGGAGTACAAAACATTAAATGAGCACAGTGACGTGGAGGAGATCAACCTCGAGTTCGGTGAGTATAAATAGGGGCAGTTGGTAGCATTTACACAGGTTGGACTCTCTCTCTAAAGAATACTATTGAAAGACACTTCTCTCTCTAAGAAACTAACTTGGGCGTCGGAGGATTAACGGGCCGGGGCGCCCTCCTCTTTGTGTGTGTAGGCAGGCGTCAGGCAAAGGGGGGGCATCCGAGCGTCGTGGGAGTATCGTGGCATAAACAATTAGTTATTGTAACGGAGAGATTTACTCGACAATTAATTAGGAAACTTGTCAAATTTGTTCCTTCTTTATGCACCACCATAGCCATAGGGGGGTCGGACTATAGACCCTCCCCCATCAACAAATGAATTCTTTGATGAAAAATGTTATGAACTTATGATGAGGAAAATAGGCATAATAGAAGGGCGTTTTTAGGATATAACCCTAATTAAAAGAGTAAGAAAAAATACTTAATAGATATTCACTAATAAAAAAAATGAAAATTTAACTTGAAAATGACTGGGATCAATCGCATATGGACTATGAGGTACAATAGGAAAGTGTCCACAAATTAAAAGGCATTTTATTTTGTGCTAGTTATTTTTCCAGAAATTGGTAAAATGGGATGAGCTGAGGCATAGGACATCGAGGTCAACGATTACATATCTCATTCTTGTTGTTCGGATTAATGTGTTGGGACTTGAGTGAGTGATTCATATTCCGAAACCCATATACTGATATACAAATTTTCATATCGATTTTGACATCTAGTACAATCGATAATGACTGCAATATCACTATTGTCTCCATAAAATAAAGTATAATCTTTACTATAACTTGTAATTAGGTAATGTTGCTATATATGAACTCTCGTGTTGATTCGACAATATACATTATCTCGTATTAAAAAATACCATTAATTCCATATTTGATGAATTATGTATAATGCACTAAGTCATCTATTGACTATTGTATTTGTATCCCTTACCAACAACGGTTAATGTAACATGAATATTAAGAAATAAGAATGATAAATATTGAAAACGAATACACTACAAAATAAATCACATTTTCTAACGTATCGTTAGTTGTCTTGCTCTTCCCTAAATGTAATTGAAACGATTAATTTGTAATTATGAAATTTCCCAATTGACTCTTAATCAAGATGGATTAATAGCTGCTGTTCCTTTCCCCCTCCAGCGGCTGTCCCCTCGTCTTCCTTCATCCCATGTGTTGACAGAAACAAACGAAAGAACATAAAACTAACACAAGATAATCAATTACGGTACATATTTCTTTGCAATTCACATTTGTAGTCCAAGTATATTTCTTGTTTCAACAAACAAGTCCTTATACTATGAATGTTGAAACAAATATGTTTGTGTGAGTAGTAACTAAGTTGCTCATCTACTTTTAGTCACTTAATTAGGTCAATCTTTTGCAAGTCCCTCGTGAGCGAGATCGACATGCTTAGTAAACAAGTTCATGAATGCTGTATCACATGTATGCTAAGTATCCTATATGTTGAAAGCACTTGCTCTGCGTTTTAATTTGATTTGTAATTATCGCTTTTACATTTGTGATATGAGATCCTGGTGAGTTAGGTTCATTGACAAACTAGTAACATTCACAGTTTTAGTATATATATAGCATGTTAGTTGTCAATATGTGCTTATAATCAAGTGTGAATCAAACTCACTAGTAAAAGAGTTTATTGGAAATTTAAAAACGAAATATGTAATCTCTGAAAAAGCCGAAACAAACCATTAGCGAAAAAGTTTCTTATTTACAAAGTTTCGATCCACACACCACCTCTTTCAATAAGTACATTTCTCTTTCAGCCATCAATGTCATATTCCTGGCTTGCCTTCTTGTTTCCCTCAATTACCCATACCAACAATTTCGTTGTGTAGAACCCATATCCAAAGTTAAGACACAACTAGAAACCACCCCACCAACGAAAGCAACCAAACCAAGAAACCAAATAGCTATAAGATATCCTACTTGTTCAGTCTCTCAAAGTCTAAATTTACAAATGCAACTATATATTGGACAAATCAATGTCTCGTATTGTGCATAGCCATACTAAAAAAAATGTTTCATTCTCACAAATTTATAATACAAGATTACATAAATTGGTAGACTACATCCCGCTAAATTAAGGATTTAGTGTCTAACATTCACGAAGAAAACTACACTTGATAATCAATCTTGTACTCAATTCACGCAAACGTCAATATACTCAATCACCAAACAAATTTCCACTCTAATCGAAATCTAGGTACTTGATAGATCTTTCACATGTTAACTTAGTGGAAACAAAATATATCTATCATGCTCAACAAATTTCAGTATTTCACTCAAACACTCGAATTTCACGAGCAAGAAACCGAAAATTTTATGTTCACGACCAGAAAATTATTGGAGTTAAATCGTTATTAGAAAAATGGAAGAAAGATCAACCTGGCTTCTTACATGCACAAATCAAGAGGGAGAATTCAGCTCTCTCAGGATCCTTCTTCTGCTCAAGAATCTTCTCATCCAGCCACAGCCTGCTATCCAATCCGCTTCTCGTCCTGAACAGAAAAACCGCCGCACCCCTCGCCGCCGCCGCCGCCGTATATCCTCCTCCTCCTCTTCCGCCGCCGTCTTCTTCTTTTTCTCCTTCCCCTGTTTCCTTGAAAGACCAGTCGTGCAAATCCCACATCACGTCCACCACAATCCCGTCCAGGAAAATCGTCTGGTTCCCGCGGAAATTCCACCTCAACCTCCTCACCTGAAAAACCCGCCGGCCGTCGATCCAGACCGACACCCCCGCCGCCGACCGATCACCCCCGGATCCGAAATTGATCATCACGTCGTGCATTTCCCCCACCCTGCAGAACTGCGCCCGGGTCGAATACGAACCGTGACCCGACCTGCCGGAGACGAATTTCTCGATCCGGGAAACAGGGGAGAGCTCCGCCGCCAGTCGAATCTTCTCCCCGTTGACTCCTAATTTTGGGAACCCAATTTCGCCTTCCTCGTCCTCGATCTCCTCGACGTCCCCGAGGAACAAACCGGGCTCCGAATCGACCAATACGACGACGTAGAACCCGCTGACCGGTTCAGGCCCTGTTTCGTAGAAAGCAGGGGAGAGGTTCCAGAGCAGCTCGATTCTCGAACCGCAGGCTTCGAACTCGTTGCTCCCTTTCGGTTTCCTCAATTGGTGGAAAGAATTCGCCGTCGAATGACAAGCAGAAGATTTGATTTTGTCCGTTACAGAGACGGAGAATCCCCTGCCTCCCCTGCCGCAGCCGGACCAACTGACGGTGACGAAAATCGGCGAGGAGGCGTTTCTGATTATTTTGTAAGTGGAAGTGACGGAGCTCGGCGCCGGGCGGGTCGGGTGATGGGAAATGCTGGTCCGGCTCGGCGCCGGGCCGGAGCAGTAGGAGTCGGAGACTTTGGTGGCGTGTTCGCTGTAACACGTGGCGATGCTCCTCATGGTTTCGAGGTGCAGGGGAGAGAGGGGAAAAAAAACAGAGAGTGGAGAATTGGAGAGAAAGAAAGGGACTTTGGAAAAGGTTTGGAGGTGACAAAAGGGGGAAGGGGAAGGAGGAGGAAGGGAAGGCAAAAGGGTTACTAGCGATGTATGAATCTGGATTTCCAACTATGTGGAAATGCCGTTTCCATTTCCAGTTGGAGGGAGAACGAAAATGGAAGGAACATTAGAGCTTCTATGGGATGGATGTTGTTTTTATAGAGATTCTTTTGTTCTTTTGGGGGGCAAAGAATGGGGTTTTATTAGATGGTGTTTGGTTGATGTTTGAACCTAGAGGGTGGGTGAATCGTGGTTTGGTCGGGTTCGGTTTGAAATTGATATAGGATCTTATGAAAAATGATGATGAACAAGAAGGAGAAGAATAGCATTAGATTAGTGGTAACCGGTAAGGATATATCATAATAAAAAGCCAAACCATGATATGTATTAATCTTATCGTTTCAATTCGAATACCAATTTAGGCCGATTCAATTATGTGGTAATTCAAATCGTATTAAGTTTTTTTATGGCTGATAAACGGTCGTCTTGTTAGCGTGTATATTAGTGTTGGGTCTCTTATTCTTGTCTGCTTCTTTAAACGAATTTGACGGTAGAATGATGTTATTGTGTACTAGTGTTGGATTGAGTTTACTCTGAATTGATATCTATGTTAAATTATTTTATATTCCATATTAACAACCTAAAAAAGAACACATACGTATGTAGGACGAAATTATGCAAGAATGCACGATTGTAAAAAGGAGGAAGCCTTCTGTTGGTTAGGTTATCAATCGATTATTTTGGTATAACCTTACCGAATGACTTGCTTAACGGTTATTCGATTAACCAACAAAATAACCTAGAACCCACTACATAGTTGCAGTTAACTGACTAACATAAAGAGAATGATTGATGGTAAACACAAGTGATTAATTCAGAACCGACTGAACGATTCCTATTATAACCGAACCGAATCAATTGCCAACCTAAAGTTATCTACTAATAACTAGGTATTATTTAATCGCTCGTTATCATTAGACCGAAACCCTAAAATTGGCTCATTTCACATTAATTGCACCGTGGTATTGTCCGAAGAGGGAAATTTCGAAGATTGTTTCCCCTAATTAATGATCATCAATGAGTTAAACAGTTTGACTTCACGAGGGGAATTAATGGATTATGAAACCGTCAATTTGGGTTTATTAATTTGATTAATTAATCTTCCATGTAGGCTTCAAGTGGGATTTGATTCTTTTCCTTTTATTTTAATCCTATAGTATTAGGGATCTTAAATTGGCTTAACGCCGTTTTAATGAGGGAAAGATACAACAAGAATGGAGGCGTCTCATTTCTGCCGACTAATTTTCATATCTAACAATCAACATCACCTTTCTTTCTTGGTTGAGCATGACATGATAGGTAAAAGGCTTACTCAAAATAAAAGAAAATTATGAGTTACCGTAAGTTAATGGTACATAATTTTTTTTCCAATATAAATTTGAGTTATTTAAATTTTGACAATAATTGGGTTTGATATTGGTACCATTAGCGGAGCTCGAGTTAGTCTAACGGAGCTACAATATTACAAATGTTAAAAAGTTACAGGATGTTAGGCTTAGTCTTTCTTGATATTTTTGCAAGACCCTAGTTCAATCTCAAGAAATACAATTTTTTTTACCCTGTTTCCCCTCCAAAACCTAGCTTTGTCGCCGAATGGTACGAGAGCCTTGAATTGGGTAACAACATTTGATTTAAGCACGATGTACAATAAAACAATACAAACTTCGAACCTATTGAATCATCTTTCATTTGCGTGAACATGTAAAAAAATTTGCAAAATAATTTTTTTAGAGCGTGTTTTCCCATAACTCAACTAACTAACTGCGAAACAAGACTAGCCGAGCTCGTTGAGCGTCTCACGCAAGGTTATGAGTTCTGTCCCCAGCGATGATCGTTGGAGTATCACCTGCCAATGTAAGACAGCCTAACGGTGCTACCGGGGGGTAGGTCATGTCGAGATGTGTGAGGTCTTGGGTTTAATGACCCTCTAAGTCCCCGTGTGGTGTTCCCGAAGGCGTCAGGCTGCTAGGGGGTAAGCTCAATTGACGCATAAAATTGCAACCGATAGCCAGATTTGTTCCGCTTCACCATCACAAATGTGTTGTGTGCGTGTGAATGTTTCTGGATAATTAAAAAAAAAACTCAACTAACTAAAAACTGGGTTTTGTTCATGTTCCATGAAACCACGCCCAAACGAGTCAATGGAATTTGAGACCATGATAACTAATTAACTATTACACAAACAAATTTCAAAGTTTTATTATGAAGACATATTATAGGTTATTGGAAGCACGTCATGGTCGACCATTGGAAAAAAAGGGCATTGAAAGAGAGGATGGAAGGGCTAAGGAATGGATTGGAGAGAGTGGGATGGGATGAAATGTCTTTGGGGAGCTTGGCATATGGTTTTGCTTATAGACCAATTGAGAAGGGCAAATAGAAGTTATATTTTATATTTGGACCACAACGAATTAAAAGTTGGGATTTGAGATTCACCTACTCCTCCAACGGCAAAGACAATCCTCCCATAAAACTTCCCTTCGGATATTCTTTTCATTCCAAATCCAACAAAGCATTTATTTTCAATTGGAAGTAGCCGGCCACCAATTTTAGTTTGAATAACTCATGAAAACACATACCATTCTCTACATATACGACATTTGAAACGAAAATTAATCAAAGGAATTGAAGTTTGCAGTGATCATCATATCACATGTTTCAATATGCACTTCTCATATGAAATTATCAGATTGTTTGGAATGAGACCATTAGATTATACAATGATCTAATATTAGACATACTCATGAAAGATAATCAACCAATTTTGAAACTTGAATACAATCATCATATAACGTGTTTAAATTAGCATTTCTTATGTGGTGGGATAATTAGGAGTCTGAGATGAAACTTTTAGATTATACAATGATATAATCTTAGGTATATTCTGGAAGGTTAATCAACGAATTTGAAGCTTGCATACGATTATCATATCACGGGTTTAAATTTACATTTCTTATGTGGGATTACCATGAGTATGGGATGAAATGAAACCTTTAGATTTATTAATTCAATAGTCTATTCTTAAGCATGCCCCAGAAGATTAATCGACGAACTTTTAAAGTTTGCATACGATTATCATATTTCGTGTTTAAGTTTGCATTTTTATATGGAATTATCAGGAGTCTGAGATGAAAACTTTAGATCATGCAAGGCCCCATCTTATGCATATAGAATAGTGGACTCTTATCTTTGGAAAGGGCATAATTATCAAAGAAACTAAACAAATCAAGTAATCATGCATTGAACACATGAGGTATTAAAAGATAGTCACGCATCCTCCTAATAATAATAAGTACTCATAATTGCCCACTTTTCCACTTTGTTTTTTCATTTCCCTTTTATGTTAGTTAACACTCACATCGCGGGAAATTAAAATAAAATATTATTGCAAGTTCCATTAAGAACCCTAAAAAAATTAATAACTGGGAAAACCATAAACCTTTTATTGAGTAGAAAGGTCTTATACTTTTAACTAGTTTTTAACTATATAAGCCGATATGATATAATTGCAGCATCTAAAAAGGAGTACCGGCTTCCTTTTCCCGTTTTCCGTGTGGTTAACATTGAGAAGAAGAAGAAGAAAAAAAGGGAGAGTGATTTAAATAAACAAGTATTGAAAATTTGAATGGGACATGTCAACCAACATCGGTTTTTTTTATAGATTATAGGACAAATAGAAGAGGCATATAAAATTAAGACTCAAGATATTTAAATAGATCTATCTATTTCCCTTGGAAAATGTACAACACAAGTAAGATATTGTTGCATAATATAAATCATGTTGTTCAGCTCAATTTCATATTGAATATCAACCCATTTGTTTAGAAAAATATGATGCAAAATTATATATCAATACAAATTCAGAGTAGTTCGAGATTCAGAGACTTTATTCCACTATATTCAGTCCATAACAAAATGATAACCAACATCAAGAGAGCACCCACGATCAACAACCAAATTGGTACAAGTTCAGAGTAGTTCGAGATTCAGAGACTTTATTCTCATGACTAAAGTCTATGTATTCAACCACAAGTCATGATCCAATCAACACAAGAGTAAATATGAGTTTGATACAAGTCGTATCGAGCTGTTGAGACCAAATTATTAAAGGGAGAACGCGATATGGATCAAGTCATTTTAATAACAAAGTGAAATTAATCCCACCAATTCTACTAAATTATTACAATTAAGTTTTTATTTTCCATCCATATATTGACTTGTCATCCACATCTCATTTCGTCTTGAATCCAATGTTACAACTACTCCTAGACCTAGTCATCAAAATCTGAATGGCCCTGGACGACGGATCCACCGCAGCAGAAAGTGACTAGTAAGCTAAAAGACCAACGAACATAGCAACTCTAATTGAGTAATTTCCCCACCTTACGTTTCTTTGTTTAGCGGTTTAGCCCCTCGAAAAAAGAAGCATAAACAGTCAGTGGCGGATCCAGAAATTCTACATAGGGGTGTCCTCTTCAAAAATTAAATTAATTATTAAAATTAAATTAAATAATTATTAAAAATGAAAATATTTGACTAATAAAAGTTACATTAAAAGTTCAGACATGTTTCGTAAAATGGTAAAATACATTCGGTGTCTATACTGCTCAACAATGATCTTTCGACATATCATACTAGAAAGGGGTATCCAGTAATTGGGTTTAATCGTTAGGTTTTAAAAATAATTTGGGATAAGAATAACATTTTACTATTATATTTGGATCTAAAACACAATAACAAATGAGTTGTAGTGTAATTGAAAATATGTTTACTAATAGTGGCAGTGTCTCAAGTTTAAATCACATAAACTACTACTAAAATAATATTTGTACTAATACGCAAACTACTATGGGAGGTTGGATAATCGTTTTTCCAAATTTTAAGGGTGTCCCACTACCACTTAAACATTTTTTTTTTCCACATATACAAACTACTATCGGAGGTTGAATAATCGTGTTTCCAAATTTTAGGGGTGTCCCGGGACACCCCTAGACATGCATGTATCCGCCCCTGTAAACAGTACTAATCACATCACGTAGCTTGATTTCTCAAATCTTCCTTCTAATATTTCTTAATTTCCTCGTCGTAATCCATCTCAAATTCTGAAATAGACGACAAACCCACCATCATTACCAAGCAGAAGGAAGAAGAAGAAAAAGAAAAACAACATGAATGGCCAACTCTGCTAAGCTTAATATAGAAAGGCCCCCCCGCTTCCTCTAAAAGGAAAACAGAGTACTCTGTTTTCGCCATGAACACTGACCTCTGAGCCTCTGTTATCATGCATAATTACCATCCGGCCCACCATTTTTCATACCCATTCATCTGAAAACAACAAAACCTTCTGAAATAAACTGTTCATATCACACAACGAGGCAGCATTAATCAATGTCTCGAAACAGTCATATGATGTTCTTTTCCCCTGAAGCATATGTGAGCATGATAGTTTCAAGCTTTCTCTGAGATGGAGAGGGACAGATCGACGCCACTTTCCTGGAAACTGGAAGGAAACGTACGATCCCAGGAATCTGGAAAATTAGCGACAATGGATGATTCGTGTCTTGTCACAGAAATGGGAAATAAGGTATTCATTCTTTCCCCGGTGGAAAGGGTTTACTACCTTCACTGGGCTTTGGTGAGGGAGGCTGACGAAGAAAGCATCAGATGAATGAATGGATGGGTAATTAGCATAAATGGTCACAAACCTTTGCGCTTAGTACAAAACAGTCACAAACCTTTAATTTGTAACCATTTGATAACAAAACTTTTTACTTAGAACAAAACGGTCACAAATTAAACAGTGTGACCATTTCATACCAGTTCAAACTTTTGTTACCGTGTCGTTGCAAATTAGACTTTTGGTGACCGTTTTGTACAAATTAAGTTCAAAAGTTTGAACGCTCAATCACCGTTACAATTCGCTCTAGGAATTTTACAATGCTATATAGCATTGGTGCTATAGGTTTTTACCTTTATGGTACAACTTGAAATTGTACCTTTAATGTTATGGTACAACTTCAGATTGTACCTATACTTTTTGTACAAATTCTTTTATGGTACAATTTAAACTTGTACCTTATGTGATGGTACAACTTCAAGTTGTAAAGTTGTACCATAACATAATGATACAAATTCCTTTATGGTACAACCTAAACTTGTACATTTAATGTTATGGTACAACTTCAAGTTGTACATTAAAGCACCAATACTATATAGCATAGTAGAAGTGCTCCTAGTTGTATGGTGGTTTTGTTAATGTATGTGAATGATATGATCGTCATAAAGGATGACAATGAGAGAATTCAATGTCTTATTGATTGTGACGGTCCAAAATTAAGTTACTTGATTTAAGTCCAAGTTCTAACGAGTTTGTACAAACTTCAAATTCACGAGTGGGATTTCGGATTATGAATGATATAAGATCTAAAGCCGGATGTATTAAATAAACCAAAAATAAAATAGATGTGGAAGTGGAAGGTGAGAAAGAAAGGACGGAGCAGAGCATCATTAATGGCGGTCATGAGGGAGTCAGCTACCCAGCTAGCTCCGCTCTTCCATCTCGCCTCCGCGAGGGCTGTATCATTCGTTGGCAGGCGGAGGAGAACGTGGTGTTTTTTTTCTCTCCCACTTTTCACAGTACTCCATCATTTAAAGCTCGACAATCTGTAGCTCAAAAAAATATGAATGAATATTACAAATAAAGGATATCCTGCAGCAGGAAACTAATTATTAATCTCCATTAATTATGATTTATGAACATGCATATGCGGGAAGTGGAAATGGAAGTTCCAATAGATACTGTCTGCGGGGATCGTTGGTTTTGGTGAACTGGACTAGTACTTAATTGACATGTAGCTTTGACCCAAAATTATCAAGATATATATCTAGGTTTGAATTTTGACGTTGTTTAGCAATTTTAGAACGACTTTTAGCATTCCAGCTTAATAAATGAGATCAGCAAGATTCAAACACAAAACCTCTCCGTCAACCACTTTCAGTTAGATGCGCACTAATTAACTCCATTCTCAACTAATTATTATTGCCTAATTTACTCATCATTTTCCTCCCGAGAAACCCACCATGTTACACTCTCTGCCCACGTAAGCGTGATTGCTTCTTTTTCTTCTCCTCGCATGGTTAGTTATCATCCCACTACCTACTACATGAATGGCGGTCGACAATACGCATAGTTACGTATGATACCATAGCTGAAGTTTTGTTATGTATGATTCTAATGCAGATGGGTGAAGTAAAATGGCAGCCACCCTTTACGTAAAGCTAGATAACCTAATTCCACGCAAAGGCAATGCGCAGAAAGGGCACATCATGCTTTTGCATTGCATGGGACCAAAATTAAGTAGTACGTGAAAAGCTACAGACGCTGCTGCTTTTGGATCGTGCCAGAAGAAAGCTGCCTGTTGTGGATCAAAGCGGTCCTCGTCGTCACGCTCATGCATGCGCCATTGAGCCTCCAAATGACTTGACGTGCGTCGGCAGCAAAAATAATATACAGCAGGTTACTGAGGAGTGAGGACGACGTCATTTTTTTGTGCGAGCCAAAGCCATGCCATCATGTTCAGGGGCGGAGCTAGGATCCAGAGATCGGGGGCCGAACTTTTTTTATAGTATCCGTCAAAATGTTCTATGAAGATAAATAATAATAATAATAATAATAATAATAATAATAATAATAATAATTCATTCATTATAGAAACCCAAGCAATATTTTAGATAATTAAAAGATATAAACATGTGTTATAAAATCAAATTTTATGTAATGGTCTATTCAAAATAAATAGTAAATGATGGTTCTGCTAGAGATTGAACCTGAGTACCTGGAAGATACTAAGAGCTGCTTTTCGCTGGACTAGAGCTAATCAAAGGTTATCATTTTTGCGCGGAACTGTAATTGTATAATAGATAATTTCTTCAGAATTTCCAAAATTCTCGATATTTTTACACGCCATCTTCAGAATTCTCGGGGGCCCCGGGGCCCGCCCGAGAAACAAGGTAGCTCCGCCCCTGATCGTGTTGCATGCTTGCTTGCTTCCGCCACCGTCCAATAAATCGTGGAGGCTTTGTTTTAGAATAGAGCCGCGTGTAGTTCATTTTTTTTTTCCCGAAAGTATAACACAAATATAATTGACGTGTTATATGGTATGACGTATTATAGAAAAACATCCTCTAATTTTTACAATGATCTTAAGTTTTTAACTTATTAGGATGATTGACCATTGCAAATTTAATTACAATAGAGCAACATCAATTGAAATTTATTGCGAGGTATTTTCCAAGTTCTAACGATTTGAACTACTGGATGAAGCACTAAATTGAACAGATAGAAATTTAGTATTCGAGGAACATCTCCAATTCGACCCAAATGATCGCGACTAAGGGCTAGGGGCCAAGCCTTCTTCTACCCTAACTCTTTCTCTGTCTGTCTTACACAGTTACACTCTTGCTCTTCTTCCGTTCCTCTCCCTCTTTGAGATGCTTTAGGATATATTGGGCTAGCCCGACAAAAGCCCACTAATGGTGTTAAATATGAGGTTGCTTCAAGAACCCACAATTACTAGGCTTTCTCATCCTTCGGCCCCATAAGAGTAATTGGGCAATGTGTATGCAATTCTTCGGTCCAATTACGAACAAATGGAGCTCCCATTGAATATTCCTCCACATGCATGCAGTAACAAAAATGCAAAATGTTCCTATACAATAATGTGACAAATGTGATTGAAAATTCTTATTTTTTTGTTTAAATTTTCCGATCTAGAAATAAAACATCATTCTGAATTATGATAATTTGTTTAATTGGTAGTGGAACAAGTATGATAATATATCTATTTATTGGATTCATGTGACAACTAACATGGCACATTGATAATTCTCTATTATAACTTATCACCAATTACATGTTTCCCTTTCAATATCAACCTCATGTCATATCTTAAATACCATGGTATTGTTGCAAGAAATACTAATAGATCGATCTTATATAACTATGAATTACTCTGAAATTTGTCATTGTACTTAATTAGTGAGCGCTAAACTATGTTGTGGAGAAGACGAAATGTAATAGAACAAACCATTTGTTCCACTAAAACAGTTGAACGATCTCAACCAAAGTGGAAAACTACAGTGGAACCATTACCATTACTCAAGATAAAAGCTCAGAGTTAGTGATGAATGACGTTTTGGCTCTAATACTATTACTTATCACAAATACAATTTTCCCACAAAAACAAATAATTAAAACGTATCTCAAAAACAAGATTTCTCTTCTATAAAAAAAAAAACAAGATTTCTCTTGTCCCTTTTGACTATAAAAAAATATAAAGCATATCCACAATCCAGTCAAAAGCGCCCACTACAACGTAGCGCCAGCCCAAAAACATGTCATCCCTTACGTCACCGTCTCTCGCCCATCTCTACGGACCGAAAACTATCCGAACCGAGATCCTTATACGGCCCAGGGGCCGATACCCCTTCATCCTCTTCCAATATCCGGTTCCTCCCTCTCAGGTTCTTCTTCCAAGCCCTAAAACCCACAAACCCAACCGCTCCACCCAGGACCAAGACCGATAGGCACAAGAACACGAGCCCGACCCGTGCACCCGAACCCGTCTTCTTCTTCTTGCGGGCTTTCGAACCGGCCTCATCATTTCTTATCTTAAAGTACCCGAACTTGCTCTGGTCCGTGACACCCAACATCGTCTGGATCGGGTAGTCCACCAGATAACAGAATCCGGACGCGTTGTTGTACACCGCGCCCCAGCACGTGCAATTCCTCTCGCACGAGCCCTCGCATTCCTCGAGCGACGGGGTCATTACGTAGCCGATCAGCTCCTTATTGAACGGAAGGTCGACCCCGACTCTCCTCAGGACTCGAAAACCATCTCGTTGACCGCAGAAGTTGCCCTTCGGTGCGGGCAAACACTGACCACCGGTCGGTCGACTCGAACGGGTCTCGTCAGTTTCATCGAGACAAGAGCAGGTGGGTCCTCCTGGGCGACACAGCCCGTACGAACCGCACGGGTCGGGCAGGCCGCACCCATCCGGTACGGCCTGGTACTCGAGAACCCAGCTGGCTCCGTCCCAGTTGTAACCTTTTAGGTTCCCGTCCGGTTCGATCCGGACGATATAGAACCCGCCACCGACCCGTCGACGAAAGCTGTTGAACGACTGAACATCGACCGGGGTAGTACCCGACCCGTTCTGGTACATCCCGAGAAACCCTTCCGGTTCGACCCGCAGGCGAATCGGACCTCGACCCGGAACCACGTCGGCCCGGGCCTCGAGCGCCTTGTGCTTCCAGTAGATCCGATCGGGGACCCCACCTCCGTCGAAGTCGGCGTACATCGCCATGAAGTCGTCTCCCAGCCGCATGGCGTACCGTCCGCCGGCGGCCACCAAGGCGGCGGCGCCGGAGCTGAAGTTCTGCCCCTCCACGAGGGTGTTTCCGGGGAAGTCAAAGCTCTGCCAGACTACCACCTCTCTCGCTGAAACGGCGTCGTTTCGCTTCACCTGTAAGTTGGAATTGTTCAGCAGCACGACCGTATCGGTTGGATCGGTCCCCGTGGTGGACCAGATAACGCCCCGGCGGGAGTCGGAGAGGACGAGTCGGCCGCTGAAGGAGAGCCGGGTCCGGTCCGACCAGCTGGGCGAGGGCGGGGTCGGGTTGGCCTGCCAGATGGGTTGGAGGGAAGGGAGGTGGAGGACGGAGAGAGCGAGCTGGGACGAGTTGACTCGGAGGAAGCCGAGTGAGAAATTCCCCGTTGGGTCTTTGAGGATCGGTTGGAACGACGAGATTGATTGGTCCGGGGTGGCTTGGAAACCGGACCGGATCTCGGTTTGGCCGGCGGCGGGTGAGGCGAAGAGGGTGGCGATGGTAATGAAGAGGACAAAAAGAAGGTGGTGAGCTGGTGGTGAGTGGGAGCGAGTCGGGGGTGAGTTGATCGGGGCGAGTTTGTCCATTTTGGGGGAAGGGAGAGGACTAGAGAGGGATAGAGATTGAAGAAAAGGGGGTGAATGGTGTAGAGTGGAGTTTTTAAAAAGAAACGACGACATTGAAATTGTTTTCTGTAGATGGATCTCATCTCGTGTGTTCAATAAAATAGTGTTTGTTTTCTTGTTTCCCGGCCCTTTTGTTTAGTGACAAGCAATGGTTAAACTTACAATTAACACAAGGGTATACAAATGAAATACATATACCCTTTTTACATGATTCAACAAATTAGGTTAAACCTTTAAATTTCATTAGAAGCAACACATCCTTTGATGTTTAAGGCATTATTTAGGGTAGAGCTTTACTCCAACATAAAAGCATTTTATTACGAGAGAATTCGTTATTTCTCGACTCTCATCATCTCACATGCAATTTTTTTTGGGATAGATACTATCTATGCTAAATGTCAGTTCTCTAGTATTTAATTCATACATGTCGTCTCGATTGTTTTATTCCTTAATATGAGGTCCTACATATGGGTATCAATTTGCATGAAAGGGTTAGTAGGTTTTTCGGGTAAGAAGTTGAACTGTCCAATCTTGTACACATTTTATTCGCTAGTGGCATCGTAACTTGCCGCTCGTGAACATTGTGTATATTTATATTACACTGTAATTTTTTTGAAAGTTTGTATTTTTTAATATCACGAAGGACGAATTAGATATGCAATTTGGAATTATAAATTGGAGTTTGGAAGTCAGAATGCGATTACAATAGGCATAAGAAAATATATCTGATAATCTTATAAAAATATTTTATCTCTGTGAATTCGTCTTTTTATAATGGAAACTAAAGGTTGTAATCACTAATCAGTTCTGATTGTCCAAAGTCCAGAACCCATTTACAAAGTTAAACCATTTCAATCATCAACTACTACTGCCCAATTTGGTAATCGAGCAAAGCTGTCTTCTCTTCTCTTCCCCACCTAAAATCTGAGTGCTCTTATCTCTCTTTGTATATTCTGACTGTTTTTCAAATATGCTTAGCTGCAGCAAGTTGCAGATTGGGAACATAATATTAAATGGCAAGTGCACTGTTCTTGTCCCAGCTAGCTCGTGAGGGTGAGGAGAGAAAAGAGAAGAGTTGGATTTAATTTAGAGAGTGCGAATTTATTGATCAATCAGGTGGAGCAAGGGTTGACTTTTTTTTTTTATTTCTATATAAAGATTTTACTGTTCTTTGAGTAATTAATGTGAATGAGGAAGGTTCAAATGGATCGCCATTGACACTAATGAAGGTTGTTCTCAAGGGCTGAAAGAGACCACAGTAATGGAAGCTTCGGTATATTAACTTTCATATTATCCTGAATTCAAAATACTTTTGAGCTGTCGATCTACCTCCATGGTAGTCACTTATGGAAAATATTGACGAGTGATTAAGCTAACTGATGGCTCAACAGTACCAGATATAGCAATAACGACGACCAAGTAGTTTGGAATGGAGTAATTTAACTTAATTATCTCAATTTTGGTCAAATTGTCCTATTTGGCTTTGCAAAAATCAAATGGATCATTGGGATTGGAGTTGACAATTTGAATTGCTCCATATTAAGGCCAACAAAAATTATCTGAAGAAGTGACATACAATTTGAATTGCCCTTCAAACCAACTATTCTCTAATGATGTTCAAAATTTGTCCTTCAAACCAACTATTCTCGAATGATGTTCAAACTCAAATTATAATCGACATTTAAGCAATACCAAGGTAATAATGATTGGTAACAGTAACATCAATGGTGTTTGATTTGGGTTGGTCAACCGTTCATAAATACAGACCAACCTCCCCTCTCCTACTCTTATTAACTCGTCTTCTACATTCATAAATAGGTGGAGATTGGTAGGGTTACAACTTACAAAGCAAGCACGGATATGCATACATGGATATGGAGACCTACGGTGTGAACTCAATCGGATCGTAGTCGTAATGCATGCTTTCGCGACTCCGCAAGCCAACGGGAGTTGACTAAAATGGTGCACTTTTTTTTTAGTTTTATTATTTTTTATTATCAATATCTCTACAGAAATAATTAGAGACGGCTATTATCCACCGATATGATTAATCGTCGGAACCCGATCGATAATTAAGGTTTGAAAACCAAGAAACAAACAATAATATGATAAATATAGTTAAGTTGTTTGAAAATTTGAGATTCTTGCTTCTCGCCTATCTGCAACTTCACTATAGCAAAAATATACGAGATACTAAAATTAAAATTCTAAGTAATTGTCATAAAATTACATATAATTTAGGCACAAACGGATTAAGAATAAGGTTGGTTAAAGCAAGTGAGATCGAGCAAGGAATACATATCTGCCCCATCCTCAAAACAGGTCAACCATATGGGGTAAAAAGCTCTGATCGAAATTGTCATCCCAACACAAATTAAATCAATTATCATAATGTTTACAAAGGATGTAGCCGCAACTTTCCTTAGCCGCATGAACATAGAACTAAGGCCTCCTTTGGATGGATCAATAAAAAAATGAGACAATTTGACTAATTGTCTCATTTTACAAAATGAGCCATTCAAAACGAGTCAATTCTAATTGTTTGTCTCATGACAAACCATTTCAATTATCACAAAACGAGACAATTTGAAATTCTCCAAACAGAATTACTTCATGTAAAGAGCACGGATCAATTTCACCATATTGTCTTAAAATAAAATAATTGTATCAAATTAATCGATTAGAATTCCCGTCCAAACGACAACTAAAGCCTTGGTAATCATGCATGCATGGATAATTGGGCTTGCATTATCTCATAAAGTAGGGCCTAAACAGCAGCAAAGAAGGGCCCATATGTTGATGAGCGATTGCTACTCACATTTAGTGGGCAGCATTGGAAGATTGATTTGGGCTTATTTATGAACCATGATAGGTCATAGAAGCTGATGAAAATGCATGGACAGGACAGAGAGAACACATGAGCCCATTGGCCATGACATCTTGATAGGAAGCTGCTATGAGCTATCAGATCCCGTCATAGTAGGCTTCAGTTTGCCCTTCAGGCCCAAGAATGGAAGAACCATAACATGCATTGGGCTTCATTTTGCCTTCAAGGCCCAACAAAGGAAGAAGAAATTGAGAAATCCCGTCATAGTAGGCTTCAGTTTGCCCTTTAGGCCCAAGAATGGAAGAACCATAACATGTATTGGGTTTCATTTTGCCTTCAAGGCCCAACAAAGGAAGAAGAAATTGAAAAACAAAAATGTAATGTTGAGAGTGGGATTTGAACCCACGCCCTTTCGGACCAGAACCTTAATCTGGCGCCTTAGACCAACTCGGCCATCTCAACTTTTGTTGTAAATGTCCCTACCATAGTATATGAAGTGTAGAGAGTCAAAAGCTACAATACCACAATCAAAATTTTGCTGAGTGATTGCATATTCTCTGTGTATGAAGATGTTACGCTTATAATGTTAGATAGAGAAATCGTTAATAGGTTGGACCTGACGTTACTTGTATATATGACTCTTGAGATCTAAGCAAGATACCTTCCGGTACATCGAGGATGGTTTGTTTCAACGCTTGGAGCGATGGAAGTCACAAGCTATATATGTCCTTGGCGGCCAAGGAGTTTGTCAACAGTCCAAAACTATCTACTGTGGCCCTAGGAAAATAGATGTGAGTAATGGGTAGATCTTTTCAAGACTTTTTTTTTATACTTAAGTGATCATATCGACAATAAGTGTTTATATATAATAACGTATTGTGCAATTTTTTGTTACTCAAGTTTTCTACTGGACGAACATAATTTATGCTTGTTATCCTATTTAGTGGCTGATCAAGTACAACAACTTTGAAGTCCCTATATATATGAATCCCTCTAGTTTTAGACATGTTTTTTTCCACATTATTACTAAAAACAAACCATGGGTTCCAATCGACCCCACTCCCTTTGACAAATTTGGTTACCACAACACATAGTTACCTTTGCCTTTCTTTTACAAACCCATGATCAAAATCTCATCATGTGTGAAAGGAATGTAAAATCGACAACTATTTTGAAGAATTGAAGTCAAAATTTTACACAATTCCAAGTCATCATTCATATCTCCACCACCTATATAAATAATAACTACTAATGATCGATCGTGGTCTGAAATTGTGTTGACCCTCATTATGAACCGCATGCAGCAATCAGAATAAGTACACTCCCCTCATAATGATACTCACTCTAAAGATAGACCTAATTAAGCTATATCTCTCCAACGACAATGACCTAAAACTAACTTGTTTAATTCCTTCTGTGTTTTGTGCCTTTTCCTTCATTCATTCCTAACCACATGGGAATCTCATGGTTGTATGTTTCTCTAATTACTCCTTGCAATTAATGGACAAGACATGGATCAGTCACCGCCCTTTGGATTGGTGTCATGTATATATTCTTGTCGCCTTAGTATTATAGGTTTAACAGGACTTGTCGATTTAGTGACTTCTAAGGCTCTTTCATTAATTGTTCGACTATTTGTCGTCGACTGTCGCGTCTGGTTACTCGGATCTATTATCTATGACGGGGGGAAAAAAATTGTTTCCTGCAAACGAAAGTGATGTTAAGGTTTTTATATGCCTACACACTAACACTGATTGCAAGATCCGAAGAGTTACTAGTGTTACGATACAAGATTTTTCAATCACCTTGTAGTCTCGTGCTATGTCAAGAAACCAGATTCATTCATCAACTTTGCATTGTTTTTTGTTGTATGTTTAGGATTTGGCCCACCACTAGTTTTTGAGTTTTTATACTTTAAATCACATTTATGGGCGGAGAGATAGATGTTCCAAGAACAAATATTACATTTGGGTCGAATGAGACAATATTTATGTATAATTTGATTTGTATATAATTATATACCAATTTTCAAATGTAAGAAATTCTCGGTTTTTAAAATTTTATAAAGAAGAAAGGAAGTAAAATTAAATAAAAACCATTCTAATTCTTACATTTCCTCTATTTTCAATTCCAG